TAGTGGTTCACGTAGTCCGCAACACAGTAAAATTTCAAATGATGGAGAACCCTGGCCCCCGCCGCTTTATTATACCTCTACTGATTTTTTCCCTATATAACGTACATTAGATCGTTAGATGTGACTAATTCCTTAGAAATCGTCACGAATGGACTAATCCCCGTGCGTTAGTCAAGTGAGTTAATCCCTGCTTTGAGAGCTAATTCCCGGTTATCCGTAATCCTCTAGATTTTACTTTTACATTGGTATGATATGTGAATGGACTAATCCCCGTGTGTTAGTTCACTGTGCCCTGCTTTGAAATCACGCTATATGAATCCTCTAAATTTTACGTTTGTATCGGTATAATAAAACAGTTAAAAGTATATCATTGCGGGAGTTATCAAGATTCCAGTTCCCCTTTGCCTTGGGAAATAGTCCTGGTCGAGGGGAACTGGAATCTTGCTAACTCCCTCAATGATATACTTTAACTGTATAATAACTCCTTTTCAAAAGATGATAGTTCGCCTTTTATTTTCAATAACTTGACTAACTTAGCCCACCCTAGGGGGCTAAAATATTGACCCTCGGGACATGAAGTTACAATTTGGTAAAGGGCTAATTTCTCAAAAAATAATTTGAACAGTTGTAGTTAGATATCTAGGAAGGAAAAATTTTAAATGTATAATGTATTTTCAATGTTGAACCAATTTAGCCCTTCCCTGATGCCAGACACCTGGACCAAGGGTCATGGATTTCACAATTTTTGTTGAAGGCTTATTAATTATACCCAAGTAAATAGTTTGTCTGCTTTTTTCAAGAAAAAAAAAACAGATTTTCAAATGGGAAATAAATTTTGATATATGACAAGCAAACTCCTAATTTAAGCTACATCTGCCTAAATCATGTATTTTTACAAGTAGAGTGTATCCGAAATATCTAACGTTTTCAAGTCGTTTTTTCACGATTTTTTTTTTTATATTATACGCAAGGAACGTCAAATATACCGCCACCATGCACCCCACCTCCATTTTTTGGAAAATAATCTTGCTGTTGTATTGATATAAAAGAAAATCATTTATGGGCTGTTTGGCCCCTGAAGATTTTGTTTCAGTATGGTCTTGCAAATTATTGCATTTAAAAAATTAGTTTTACCGAAAAGTTAGAGAAAGACCATCTCCCCCTTTAACCCCTACTCCACTCCCTACTCGAGTTAAGGCAGTTTAGTTTTGTGTGTGTGTGTGTGTGTGTGTGTGTGTTTCATTTGTCAATTTTTGGGGAGGCTGCCCCCCCCCTTTTTTTCTCAAAAAGTTTTCTGGCAAACAGTCAAAAAAATTACGCATATTTTGTTACCCTGCGTTTTCTTTTCCTTTCAGTATCGTATTCATGTTAAATGTTACAAACGTAACAGTATGATTTTAATTAAATGACAGTTTATTTGGAGGAACTTTCAAGAACTGTTTGTGAACAGAAGTGATTGCTGGAATTTGGTAACGATACGATAGACAACAGTAAATAGCTAGGCAAAAAATGTTGTGGATGCTTTTCTGACTGAATGGGGTCTATGGAAAGGGATATGCTGAGCTCGGCTGGGGGGGGGGGGGGTCGATTATTTTTAAAGATATTGATAATTAATTTAGGAGTTTATATACAGTCTCAGAATGCGTATTGTAAAGATAATGTATATAAACTATTTATATTTGAATAGTGAAACAAAGTTATTGAAATACATTATTTATAAATTCATCAACTTTTTTTTATTTGTTCAAACTAAAATTTAATTTTTCTTGATTTTATGGTTGCAGAATTGTTTATTATATTAACCATTTTCTTTTTTATGAATGTGAAGCGACATATGATATGAGTTGTTATTAGTCCGAGTAAGAGAAACAGACCCCCATCCCCCCCCCCCCAAGAGGTATAACAAAATACTACACGAAAACGTAATTTTTAAACTACTTTCAAATGAACTTTTTCTTAGGAATGATTGGGTTTGGGTTGGGGGTTTTATTATGCTTTTTCAATTACATGGATCACCTGCCACATTTCAAGATATATATACATTACTAGCAAACCTTGTATGAAACTACTATTATCAGACTATCCAACTCCACCATTTATTATGATCTGTTTCACTTACTCCCTTAATGTCACAGAGGAGGTGGGAGTCAAGGCTGAATAGATCTACAATGCACATAACGTGAGTCTGGCGACGGGCTTATTGTTCCCTGCTTTCGCGAAAGCGATGGGACATTAAATCTCATTCATCTGTCACTCTATCCGTCTGCAAGTCTATCCGTCTGTCTGTCACAAAAATTCGTCATAACTTTTGAAAAAGAAGACATAGGGCTTTCATGTTTCACAGGTACATTACCTGTGACAAGACCTTTCAACGTATACTATGACTTTTGACCCCGTGACCTTGAAGTTTACCTAATTTTCAAAAAAAAATTATGATACATGTAACTTTTAAATGACAGAAGATAGGGCATTCATAAATTGAGAAGTTACCTGTGACAAGAAGTTGGGGAATGTGCTGTGATATTTGACCCCTTGACCTTGACTTTGACATCAAGTTTGACCGAATTTTCAAAAATTTTATTATTGCTGCTAACTTTTGAAGGAGAGAAGATAGTTCATTTAGAGTCTATGTTTGGCCTGTGCATTACCTATGTAATACCTTTCTAAAGTACTATGATTTTTAACCCCTTGACCTTGAAGTTTGACCTAACTTTCAAAATTTTTCACATTGCAAATAACTTTTGAATGAGGGAAGATATCATAGAGCATTTATATTTGGGGGGGGGGGGGGGTAGATTCCTCTCAAGAAACAAACAAACGAATACAAACAAACAAACAAACGAACCAAAACAAAACAAATCTACAGCAACAAAAACAAAAATCGTAAAAGTCGTATATAAAAACATTGAAACTAGATAAGCAGAGCTATAATCATGATTAAATTAAAGGCAGATGATACAAACTTTTTTCACAAATCGTGAAAATAATGGCACTTTAATGTTTATATAAGTAAAATGAATAAGTTTATGCCGTATAAAATTTCATTTTTTTAGTTCAAAGTTTCTCAATACGGTCTTTTTTAGTGATAAAAAGTTTTATAGATTTATAAAGGTGATGGCATAAAGGAAGAAACATCACTGAATTAAAGAAAAATTCCTTAAAATTTAAAGCTGAAGATTTGATATAATGTATATACCATTTACTACCAAATACGTACATGTATGCCCAAAAATACATACATATATCTATGCATCATTTTTTTTTTTTTTTGTGAAATGTCATTATAAAGTAAATGTGAACTGATCCTTGTATGTTTTATATGATTAATGATACATGTATGATTTAAAATTTTATTTGTGACTTAATTACGGACTAATTATTATTATCTCTAAAAGAGCGGTAAAAAAAAGTGGTTACTTAAATTTAATCTCTCCAAGACTAAAGTAGTGTTTTTAACACAGAAAAGAATTTAGAACCGCCTAAGCTTCTTTTTCAAGATAAGCAATTAGAATACGTTCAAACCCACAAGCATTTGGGAGTTAAGTTTTCATATAACTTAAGTTGGTCATATTGAAATCTTACTATCAAATGCATACAAGAAAATGGGTCTTTTAAAACTTCAATTTAAAATTAGACATGCAACTTATTTATGTCAATATGCAAGATAATTATGTTAACATGCGAATTAATTATGTCAACATGCGAGATATGTATGTTAACATGAAACTTAAAATTTTTCATGTTGACATAAATACCTTGCATGTTTTATAACACGCATGTTAACATACATAAGTCGCATGTTGACATTAATAAGTCGCATGTTTACATAATTATGTTGCATGCTAACATAAATATATCGCATGTCAACATAATTGTGTTGTAGCTTGTATGATGTTGTATACTGGCGTTAGTAAGTAATTTTACCAACATCAAAATTAGATTCTCAAAACAGATTGGAAGCTTGCATGTCAACAAAATTATTTTGAATGTTGACATAATTATCTTGCATGCTAACACACTTTTTCTTGCATGTTAACATAATTTATCTTGCATGTGGGGGGGGGGGGGGGGCAGAAATATTCCACCATAGTTTAGTGATTTAGTGATAAACGCAAGCTACACAGATTAAATACTATGTATATAAGATTCATAATTATTTAGTTCCTGAATTATCTCTGTGATATTATACCTGACATACGATACAACGCTTAATTCCACCTATGCAACAAGAAATTCTCAAAACTACAATATACCCATATGTAGACTGCAAACTTATCAATCATCATTTATTCCAGCTGTAGTTAATGAATGGAACTCATTTTCGCTAGAAACTAGAGCCCACTATCTGTTTTTAATTAAAAGAACGATTACACAAAAATAGTAGAAAAGTACTTAGCTCCACCTTATTTCAGTTTTGGAGAGAAAAAAAATCCGGAATAATATACTGCACATCAGACTTCGACATAACTGTGCATTAAATATAGATCTCTATAATACGTTTTAAGAACTTGTGCCCGATCCCATTGTATATGTATAACAATAAAATATGTTCAATTCAACTAATTATTACATTTCGAGCTTTGATTGAAATGGGGCATTTCTTCGTAGCAGAAAATATTTACTTGATCATCTTTATAAGGGAACGATAAGCAAACATAATAACGTATAAGTGGAAATTTTAGCGAGACGCAAATTTATTGATAATTAAAAAAAAAGGGATAATATATTTTTAGCGATTTTAGTGAGAATAAATTTTAGCGATATTCAATTTTACCTTCGCTAATAATGCCAAAATTGAAACCTCGCTAAAATTCTACTTATACGGGTAGTTAAATTGTAGGGGACTATGGTTTTCTTTACTACAAGTCTTTCTCCTTTAAAATTGGGTATGTGCAGATATTCGTATTGTGTAGTATTGGGTATGTGCAGATATTCGTATTGTTCGTATTCCGGAAATATCCGGACTGTAAATATTTTCCGTTTTTATCCGATGTGACTAGAAGGATTTTCAGGACAGTAAAGTCCGTAACCGTCTCATACTCTCTAGAAGTAGAAGAATTAGCTTTAGAGGCTAAATTTAATTTCAAGGTAAGTGTTAAATAATAATAGCATAATTTCTTCTACGACTCTTCCACGTGCTCTATAAGCCTAATAGTATAACATTCGAAATAGGCGTGTTTCAATTTTCAATATCGGACTGCTGGCAACTCTTTTTGGTATACATGACAAGTAGCATTAGAATAATTAAATGTTAACTGTCCCGGGACAAGTCCTCAAATCCTCACGCATTCGGTTTTAGTGTGGTTCCCTTAAATTGTAATGATGACTTGCAGATCAACTGTTTACAGTTTGAGTGACATGGCAACTTTATCAGAGTAGTTTCAAAAACAGAAATTGTAACGTTACCCCCCCCCCCCCAATTTTTCCTATTAGTGACTCACTAGCAGACATTTAACTGTTTAATACAAATTAAATACTATGACAGATAGAGAAGATTACGTCTTTTTGCTGATTGAACATTTTTGATTCAAGAATTTTATTTCAAGACACCCAGGACGTCATGAGCATGATAAGAACCATGAGAACTTATGAATAGATTTAAAATGTTGCCTATGATTCTGTTGCTGTGCATGCTATCTTATGGTACTCTTTAATAAAAAATCAGTCAGAATTAAACTTGCCGTGGCGTTTTTAGGGATGTAAGATTTTATTGCAGGGATAGACATTAACTTTCAGATTCACTTGCCCAAAGGGCAAGTGATCTCAAAATTTGACTTGTCCGAATGCAAAACTTGGTTGCCCAAAATTAGGAAAGAATATAAGAAGAAAAACTTAATTTCTGTAAACGTTACGATAAGAAAAAATGTGATCAAATACCAGCTACAAGTCAGTGAAAAAAAAATTGATGGCGCGCTGCATTTGTACATAAATGTATACCACTGTACTTGTAATTTTAACCTTTTAACACACACTGCCATGCAGCAATAACCCTTTCCTTTTAATAAAATTCATATTTTTAAACAAATTATTTCGGTAGGCTCCTTTTGTGAATCGTGATTTTCAGAGATAACTGTGAAGCAACGCTAAAGGAAGGTATTTGCTACGAAACATACATCTTTATCTTGATCATGATACATTGAGTTACACTGTACTTACATTCTGTGCGTGAATAAATAATCTAATTCCCTAATAAGAAGTTAACAAAATTTTGTTAGATGTAGAGTGTATTTACTTCGAAGGAAAATAACAAACCCGATTTTTAAATGAATGGTATAATCCAGAAACGCTATCAAGGAATTCCGAATGCAAAACATTGTCAATGGTGCGTGGGGGGAAATCAAGTGTTCAATTTATTTGCATTATTTATAAATTAATGTAAACTAAATAAATATGTGCACTTGTATGAAAAAAATTCACTTGCCCGATCGGACAAGTACGTCAACAATTTCACTTGCCCGAACTGAGAATTTACTTGTCCCCAGGCAATCGGACAACTGTTAATGTCGATCCCTGTATTGGTATATTACTGGTATATCATGATTTTTTATTTTGCGATACGTATCTGGATATGGAGACTAAAATACCAGTATTTAGAATTCTGAAAATAATTAATTCTTTGTTAAAACTCTTGAATAACAATATTACAGGAATCGTAAAAAATGTTGTATAACACTTAAGGTCAGACAACACGTTCCTCAATAATATATATTTTCCTCAAGAATTTAATTATCATTGAACATGTTGAAGTATTGCTACTTTAACAAGTTTCCTCCGAGAAAATTGAGGCACCTTACCAGGCATTTGTGTAACTGTAAGATATCAGAGGATAACATTTCCTATATAATCCTATTAGAAATTGCTTTTATTGCCAAGAACACAGTTTTTGGTGTACTTATTTTTCAAGACATTTTGAAAACAGTTTAGAAATCAGAAGAGAATGACAATTATGAACATCATGATGAATAATTTTTCATGTCGTCAGACCTTAAGCAATGACATCCTAGCATCCAAACATACTTTATTAATAATATAAATAAAAATGAAATAAAAGTGAAGTTATGTTTTCACACTATTTAATAGAAAATATGTACAAAAATATCATGATATTACTATGATTTTTTTTTTTTTTTTTAAAAATCATGATATATCATGATACGAAATTCTTGGGGATACCCTTCCCAAGTCATTTTGCAAATATGAACTAAAAATTATATGATAAAACAAGTACCATCTTCTAAAATTTATAATTCAAAGAGTAATGATATTTTTCAGATCTTTCTATTTCTAATATCTTTCACAAGTTATTACAGTAGACCCATTAATTTTGCTTCAACATCATTTTTGTTCATATGCACATCTGCAGGCTCCAGTCAGATCTGATTTTTTTTCGTATCAACATGATCAAAGTAATTTCTAATTTCTCTATTCTTTATGGTGTTCAGTTAATAACCATGATAACTGTCATTTTATTATGTTTAAAACATGATTTTTATTACGGTAACCATGAATCCATGATTACCATATCGACTAATTATATTTTAATGTTTATATTCACTTGTAATTTTTTTTTTAAACATGCAACTTATGATTCTAATTCCTTTTTCAAATATTTTTTGTAGTTTACATTCAGAAAATTTTGCAGAGCTTAAATTTAACCATGTTAACAATCTCATGTATCTGTAAAAGTGTTTAATTCACATGAAATGAATTCTCAAAATTCATTGAAATAAAATCTAATTGGCCACTCTCGTTGCCTCATGGCATATTGGCCACTTTGGGTTGTCAAGGATGTGAGTAAACATGGTAAATGTAATTAGTCTCCTTTGACTTTCTGGGGATCAAAGGATGTCATATTGATGAATAATAAAATATTATTATCTTTTAATTATAAGATTAACAGAGTGACAATGATTGCTTAAATTATATATATTACATTTCTCATCAAATTTGAATTATACAAAAGAATTATAATAAGTACTTAATTACAGACCTGAACCATGCGAACAGAGTACAACTTTACTGCCTTTATTGTTTTGGCCCTATTATCATGATTATGTTTCAAGATTTTACATATGTAATTAATAAAAACATGTATATGTATAAACAAAAAGCTGATTTAAACTTTTTTGCTTCATTTAATCATCTTATATTTAGAGTTTTGAACACATATGTATAGTTTAATTCAAGTTCTCTATCATAAATAATAATGGCTTATTTTCAATTCAAGTTCCAGTATTCACTAAATAAAAATTGTATCAGTTGAGCTAGTTGCAGTAGACATTTTTTCCATAACCCTCCTGAGTTTTTTCCCCCACTGTGCTGGTTGAAGCCTGATTACTGGTATCATTACTGTTCAAGGTCTAGTTTTGTGTCAAATACACCACTTTTAGGAGAGTCATTTATCAGTCTTCATGACCTTATTCCACTGTAATTACAGACTTTGGTCTGATTTCTACTGTATTTATCATATTTTTCCTGTAATGTTTAATGTGCATTATACTTGGGTTTTTATGATATATTAAGTAGTTTTTTTATGATATATGAAGTAGTAATTTTGTTTTGGCAGTTCCCCTTCAGATTTTAGATGAAATTATTATTTCATATTTATAAGAAAAACTTGGTTGAAAATCTGATTCATGTCTCAAAGGTCAAGGTCATTTGGAATAATATACTTTATATATATGTTTAACATTGTTTAAATTCATTGCTTTTGACAAGTTTGAACTCGCTACAGATATTGATGTATAATGAAATTAATATTATACATTTATTGACTGGGTTTGAGGGCAACATGTGTTTCGTTGGACTCAAGAACCAAACTGTTTGCCTCAGGCCGTTAGGCCGAAGGCAAACAGTTTGGTTCGAAGGGTCAACAAAACGCATTTGCCCGAGAACACAGTCAATAAATGTTTTGTTATACCTTATACTTTTTATTTTGACATAACATGATGAAAATTTTGTTTACCCACACTGCGGTTTCTGTAAAGTTTTGTCTAACTTCAATGAATGCAAATAAGATACAGCTGACCCCGCCCACACTGTGACATAAGCGGTCCAACATCTCATTGACAGATCCAATATATCGCTCTGCGGTCAAACATCGATTTTTTTATGACTGCTCAGTAAAACATTTGAAATGTTAGACTTTTTTTTTAGTATAGAATTATATAGGAAACAATTTTTAAAGGTATAACAGTGTACATTTCTGACCATGACCTAATAAATGGTACATTATGGACATGACATATGTTAATTTATGGGAAGAAGGACCTTGAGCTGAAAAAATACTTGTCATTCAATTTTTTTCATATTTTGTATTTTTCTAATTAAGTGTGTCCCACATATCTTAAAGCAGTTATATCATTAGGTTTCTTACCTTATTTTAGAGATATTGATTGAAAAATATTAAGCCCTACAGTATCTAAGTTGAGTTTTTATTCTCCAAGTTTCCGGGCCCATTACTCTGTCCATAATGGGATTTTTTAAGCATAGATAAAAAATATGTAAGTTTACATGTATCTTTCAAAATATTTTAGAGTATGAATAGGGTTTAAAATTCGAAAAGGCAAGTTTCTTCTATCACACTTCATCTGGAAAGGGAAAATTACGCACTTTTTAAGACAACTCAAACAACAAAAAACTTAATTTGCAAAAAATTCTATCATTCAATATCTTTAAATTTACATTGAAATGCAAGTCCTTCGTGTTATTGATTAACTGTAAAAATTTCGAATGGTGAAGCTGACCTCAATATTGCATAGGACATCGTTAAAGAAGACATAGGCATGACAAAACCGTGTCATGTTTACATTTCTCGAGTACGGGAAAAACCAACTATGACGTCACACGTAAGCTAAATAAGCGAAATAAGGTATACCTACATAAGATTTCCGTCATCAGCCATGCAAAAATAATTTTTGTGTTTCCCAAAATATTTCATCATATACTGATTATGAACTGTTTTACATAATAATACCGCCCCTCCTGTATTCACCGAGTATGATCTTGCTGTACTAACAGATCGTGTATGACGTCACCGACTTGTTGGACGCTCAGTTTAGGGAAACAGAGGAGTGGTTCAACCTTTTTCATAATTTGTTAATGTTAACAAAAATGTTAAAACTTTATATTTTTTAAATAAGATGGTACTTAAAGTAAAACAATTTTGTCAAAAATTTATACAAGAACTGACGCTTTACACGTTTTGCACTTATATAAATGGAGACTATGACGTAGTTAAACAAAGTCATGTGACCATGTGTCCTTCATCCCCTTAACATTCCTCCTTGATCAGACATGGACTCAGATGGATTTATTATTCATTAATCCATGTGTGTTTATTTTAAAGCTACAATGTTGTAATGTTAAGTAATACTGAATACATCAATAGAACCCCAAGTTATGTTTCCATGCAGCAGTCATATGTGTAAATCTGACCCTGTTCCTATTACTGATAAGTGTGGTCATGGTCATGTCACAAGTGTAGAAATTTAACCTAACAGGTCAGTTGAAGGACTGTATGAAGGTGAGATATGTACTTAATTTAAAAATTCCTGCATTATTATGACCTTGATTTTTAGTAACTGTGTAAATATGGCATATAATTATGTTTAGTGTCTACTATCATGTTAACAACTACTTTTGCTACTTATATTTATTACATAATCTTCCAGTGCAATAATTGCTTATTATTTTATAACCTTCACCCCCCACCCCCCTCCAAAAAAAAAATTCTTGCGATTTGTGCTTTAATCATGTTAATTGTTATTTTACCTTAATCCATCATACATTTCAGATTTATTGTCCAACCATACTTGTATATTACAAGGAATTTGAGAGAAAAGGACAGACTATATAGTGAATGGATTTCTAACATTGACACAAGTGAAGTCTATAAACCCTGTCTGATCTGCTATTCCCAGAAAGGTACAATATAAATTTATATGTATTAATGTACTTGGTTGTAGCATACCGGTAAATGCAAAGTATGTTAAGTTGTTCAAAAGTAACAGCATTGGCAGTGTTTATCATGTTTATACACATGCCAGCTAGTGGGATCTTTGAGCTGTTTGCCCTGCTTCTTGAGACTCAGTGAGCATGTTGAGTTGTAGCATTTTCATGCGTTTATCATGTTTATCTATTATATAAAAAGTAAAGAAAAAGAATAAAAAGGAAAGAGAGTGGGGTATTGATTTTTGTCTTTTCCTTGACAAACTATTCCTGATTTCCATTACTAAAGAATTTACATGTACTAAGATTAAAAAAAAAAAACTGTAGCAAAACTTCATGGTTATTCTATAGACCAATTTCAATGATTTTCAAACAACATAGGGATAACCCCCCCCCCCCCCCCCCAAAAAATAAAGTTGCAAAAAAGAGCCTTTCATTATCAAATGCCTGAATTTAATGTATACTAATCAATAATGGCAGTATTATGAGATCAATTAAAATGCTCCTTGCATCATACATGTATATCCATAGGTATTGAATCACTAGGCATGTAAACTTTAAATCAAGGTAGTTGTATTAAAAAGATTTTGCCGTAAGCATAATGTTATGTCCTGAGAAACTAATAAATAAACAAATGAGAGGCAGTTTATTGACATCAGAAAATGTGCACTATATATTCATAATCATAAGAATTTTGAAACTGAAAAAGATAACATCCAATGTTTGTTAGGCTGGGAAATTTATGAACTCGAACCTATACTGTATAATCCACGTACATCAGATGTGTCAGCCAGAATTTCTTCATTATGGACCTCTGTTACATACATTCCGTAAGTAAATGTAGATAAATGGGGTCAGGCTAGGTCATTTACATGAAGGTGTGAATTTTTGATGAGTCGGGAAACTTCACGTATTATCAATGAGATATTTGTACAATAATACATGTATATTATATATACTTGAGGAATGAAAACAAATAGGGAAGTTAATCATGATACTTTTTAAACAGACAGTTGCATGAACACCTTATAACCTCTCTCTAGCATTGTTGATGAAGATAAAGACTTTATAGAAGATATGACACATTATTGATAACAGTGTTATACAACCATTTATAATATATTGCTATAAACAAGGGCTAGGGGCAAACGGGACATTTTCTTGTGTTGTATATATATTATTTCATCTTGTTTAAATAGGCTACAGTCTGTAAGTATTTCTATGTTGAGTTTATTGATTCCTTTTATAGATATATTATAGTTGTTACTTTTGTGAATCATCCCCATAATTTAACTTTATCAATGATACATGGTCTGCAGTCTTATGCCAAGAATTGGATTTAATCTTTACAGCTAGAGCTCAGAACATTTTTCAAGCATTGGTAAGTTTACAGGCAGATTAAAATAAAAACATATTTGGAGCCAGGTTCTGTTTAAACAGTATTGGTCAAAAGGTATACATGCTATTATTACTTGAATTTCAACAATGTAAACACTATTTTGCATTTTGTGGATATTACAGTAGTCAGCTATCTGTATTAAATAGTACTGCATAAATGTCAGTTTATCAAACCTTTTGATCTCCCTGTCTTGTGTTAAAGTATGATTATAACTGCTGAAGTTTTCAACACTGTATATGGAAATTATAGATGGAATATAAATACATGTATATTACTGTTAACTGGAATTCAATGTAAGAGAAGACTATGAATTAATGAATTTTCAATTAATACATATCCTTATATGTTTGTTCTTTGTTCATGTTGTTCATACATACATACCTGACAACACTATAGGGGAGGAACATATTTGAATATTTCAGAATTAAATGTGTCTATAGAAATTTAAATGGTAAGTAGACCTAGTTGACATTGTAAGTGTTAACGTATAACATTAAAGGAGACAAACTATTTTGAGATCTTGGGTAACAATATTAAATATGTAAACAGCAGATGGACTATGTAATACTGAATGCTTTCTTTACATTTGTAATGCTATTAAAATAGTACATGTAATGGTTATGTATATCTGGGTACTAAAGCTTGTGACAGTTAAAAAAAAATCCTATTCAACCTGAAAGCTTGGAACTTGTAACATTTCATTAGAGCTTTTATTTTTTTAAGTTATATTATTTAAATGTTAATTAATGCAGAAAATCTGACCTCAGAGTTAGTATGTGATGGTGTGTCAAGTACACTATGCAGTTTAGAGTTTTGAGTCATTGGCAACAAGTCAGGGGTCCAGACAAAAGACAAAACATGCTTACAATGTAAATTCAGATGAGATTTAAAAACCTTTGACCTTTCCCTAATATCTGTCCTCCTGTGACCTACATATATATTTTCTTTCGTTTAGTGTAGGTGGAATCATTTTGAAAGTAGGTGCATTTCAAAAGGCAAATGTGAATTTATGTATTTATTACATTGAACATGTTGAAGAAATGGTAAGGTAATGTGAACATTGTAAATTTTTCAAAAACTCAGATCGGATAAATTAAATAAATCTATTTGAATGACAAACTTTGGTCATTAATTTATCATGTGCATATTACAAAGAGCTGTATTGCAAATAATTATGCAGTCATGGAAGTTCAGTATTGATATTGATATAGCAATGGCATTTCGAATCCATGATTTTCAGCCCCCCCCCCCCCCCCCCCTAAAAAAAAAGAAATAAAAAAAAATTATAGAGAAATGAATGTAGATCTTTTGTATTTATAAAGTCATTGAAAATGTATTCATTGTAAACGTGTTTTACAGATTGAAGTGTAATTGGAATATATTTATAAAGAATTTAGATCCGGTTGGATTATAGAAATTCGGTGTTGCTTGAAGCGAATCAGGCTTTCTCAATGAGGGCAACAGGCATGGAAGTGAATTTTCAACATCAATATCGGTTGTCAAAAGAAAACTGAAATTGATCTATTTACAATGTACTTGTATGGCACTGACACAAACAAATGTAATTATTTATCAGCAGAGCAAACCAATAAGTATGTGCTTCAGTGAATAAACACTGATTAACATATTCTCAGATTAGAATATATATTTTGACAGACTGAGCTGTGAATTCTAGATATATTTTTAAGTTACTATGGTATTATTCTAAGGGTTTACTATATCAGTTTCCATGCTATGGCAGAGTGGAGTACATTGAATGAATGTGCAGATGTTTTCAACTCTAAACTAATTTATTGGTTATGTGTAGGTTCTGGAATATTTGTTAAATTAATATTATGAATAATTAATATCTTTTTTTAAATCATTTATTTACAGATGACTGACAAAGAAAGAAAAAGCTGACAGTGGCTTAACAGTTAGTGTGATTAATACACCAACGTTGTTCATATTTCTTCTGAGATTATAACTTCACAAATAGACTTTCACCATGACGATGATGTCAGTGACGTTTGAGGTGATGTTCCGGGTGGCGGTGGAGGTGGAGAAAGATGAGGTGGTGTGTGTGGTGGGGGACTGTGACCGCCTCGGAAATTGGGACCCTCACCATGCGGTTGTACTAACACGTGAGTCCAGCAGTCCCTCACAGTGTAGGAAAAATAAACAGGAGGACAGTGTGTGTAAGGATGGAAAACAGGCAACATGGTAAGAATGTGAAAAATGGACAATATCAAGTGTTTTTGTTGTTGTTGTTTTAGCCATCCAACATTTCCTGAGTGCATAGAACTGTTAGATAAAACATTAAAGCATATATGAATAGTTAAGTAATGGGTAAACTGCTTTGTTTGATCCTTTAACAACTTGCATGAATTGCTTCATATGTAACTATTTCAAAAGGCTTTCAAAATATATATGTGGGACTTGTTTGTGTAATAAATATTTCATTGTAGTAATTATTCATAGAGACACGCCCACTTACCACCTATTAATATATGTTAATCATGCCTGACATCAAGTAGAAGATGATAAATAATCACTGCAATGTTTTGGAATAAATATATTTTAGCAGTAGTTCCATTAAATGCTGATAAAGGTCAAATGTTTTATGTTGTAATTACAGTAGAATTAAGTTCACTTCACATTCTCACTTTTCTATGTGCATGGCAAAATCTGTCAAATTTACATGTATATAATGAAAATAAATTTGTTCATATATAAAAGGGGACAAAAAAGTGTTTTGTTAAATGTGCAAGGATATGAACTACATTTTTCCAAAAAATATTAATATATTGAATTTTTACTACCGGGTACATTAATTGCAGTTGTATTAATATTTATCATGTTTATTATTTTAAAATCAGGTAAACATATTATGCCATGACTTTCACATCAAGCAAACATAATTTTGATTTTGTCATTACTGGTGAGCAAACTCAATGCCTACTCATTATATGGTACCACATTGAGGAGGGGGGGGGGGGGGGCTTTGCCTGTTCAAATCATGAGAAAGTTTAATGATCTTCAGATTCACATAAACATACATGGTATATAAGATTTATCTATATTATGTAGCTTATCATTGCTAAGTCAGGTAATTTTCCAGCATGTTAAAAATGTCAGTAGAATTATTTGTCATGCATAAGTAATTCAGCCTATCTTCAGTTTATCAATATTGACACATTTAGACATTGAGGTTTTGTTTTGTTTTTTGATACCACTTACACACAATTAAGAAACATGAGGCACATATAATTTGGATGTAATGAAACTATACAGTTAAAGTGTGCATGCATACCCATTGATTCAGAACCCAAAATAACATGACAATAGATTTATAAACTGAGTATATTTATCACATTATATTTATGTTACATTACATGAGTATATTAGGCCTTAGATATAGTAGGTATAGAAGGAAATGTAAAACAATCTAAAGATATTCTAATTTCTAATACATTAAAGTATTTTTTTTTTCATTTTTTGACTTACAATAGGTAAAATGGTGCTAATTAATGAGAATTTTTTTTTTGTCATTACCTTCAGATAAAAAATTCTCATAATACTGTATAATAAACTTTAATGTGTAACAGCAAAGAATAACAAATGTTTTTTCTTGAATAAACAATTTGTATTTCAAAATAATTTATATCTACAATAAACATGATAAATGAGTTAAAAAGCACCACATATTTTTCAGATGTTTGTGTACCATATTCTGATAATGTTTATATAATTCTGAAATGTTACAGTGATGTTTGGAGGAAGAGAGTTAAGCTGTGTGGAATGAAAAATTACTGCTACAGATACTTTGTTTGTCAAATAATGGAGTCAGACAGTGAATCTACAGACAAATCTGTGAAGGTCATTCGATGGGAAACTAACATTGCACCCAGAATTTTTTCTCCATCAGGTAAAATTCCTTTGTTTCTTACAGGCTCAGATTTGATGGACTGCCCATGTTAAAATATTTAAAGGTAATTCTACCTACTTGTACAATTTATATACAGGAATTTGTGTGTACTGCTATGATTCTTATAGAGCTAATTGAGGACAGTAATCAGAGCATACATGTTTGTTTGACCTCAAGGTGAAGTTAAATTGAGTTTGAATGTTCTATATAATTTTTTTGTAGACTATATGCAAGATCCACACAAGTATGATGCTACAATAGAAACATTTGGGGAATATGGTATGAGAGTTTAAATTTATTTATAGACATGATAGAAGTAATGGCAAATTTTACTTTTTCACTTTGTATTCTTACTTCCAGTTTAGGGTAAGGTATTTATTTATTTATTTATAGGTGGAAAATTTCATGTAACTAAGGGATGGTTGACAGACCAATTAGAAATACATATCCGTATGCATGGCAACCCAATTCGTATGTGGAAGCCCAAGTACAGAAAACAGACTTACAGAATTAAGTGCACTCCAATCGATCAACGATACCAAGATGTAATTTCCTTTCATGTATAAATTGTGCATCAAGATTCTTTCAAAACAAATTATTTGTTTACTTCTAAGCTTCTGAGCTACAGTAATACTAATCTTCATAATTATGTTATTTATAATAATACAGTACACATTTAAAATGCATTATTATCAAGTGCTTATAGCATTATTGTTCACTCAACTTGCTCATATTTATCAACCCAGTTTTAACCTGACAGTGTAAAGGTACCAGTGTAACTACAAGTATATATAAATTCTTTGTCCAGCATTTAGATGAAGATGAGGAGGAAGATGAATGGGGAACACATGTATCACCACCAGCTACCTTCACCAAAGTGCTAGTCTCTGTAAGTTACCTTCACTAAAGTGCTAGTCTCTATAAGTTACCTTCACCAAAGTATTAGTCTCTGTAAGTTACCTTCACCAAAGTGCTAGTATCCATAAGTTACCTCTACCTTCACCAAAGTTTTTAGTATGTGTAAGTTACCTCTACCTTCTCCAAAGTGCTAATTAAAGATCCTAACTTCACCAAAGTGCTAGCATCTGTAAGTTACCTCTACCTTCACCAAAGTGCTAGTCTCTGTAAGTTACCTTCACCAAAGTGCTAGTCTCTGTAAGTTACCTTCACCAAAGTGCTAGTCTCTGTAAGTTACCTTTACCAAAGTGCTAGTCTCTGTAAGTTATCCTCACCAAAGTGCTAGTCTCTGTAAGTTACCTTCACTAAAGTGCTGGTCTTTGTAAGTTACCTTCACCAAAGTGCTAGTCTCTGTAAGTTACCTTCACCAAAGTGCTAGTCTCTGTAAGTTACCTTCACCAATAGTTAGTCTCTGTAAGTTACCTCTACCTTCACCAAAGCTTTTAGTATGTGTAAGTTACCTTTACCAAAGTTTTAGTGTCTGCAAGTTACCTATACTTTCTCCAGAGTGCTAGTTATAAAACCTACCTTCACCAAAGTTCAAGTTCTAGCATCTGTAATTTAACTTTTACCTTTACCAAAGTGCTAGTGTCTGTAAAAAACTTCTACCCTTACTAAAGTCCTAGTATCCAGCCAGTGTAAGTTCTATATTACAGTACATGAATGTTACAGTATATATTTTTATGACACTATATATCCAACTTTAAATTGCAGTACTTCTCATATATTATCATTACTTCTTTTCATCAACTTTTCACCTTCTTGTGTAGACCCTGGATAATAGAAAGATGAATCACTGTGTTCAGAACCAGCATGGGACAGTTTTTGAACCAGATGGATACATGATATTCACAGCTGAAACTGTAGAACCAGAGAGTTTGGTAGGTACCAATTTATAGTGCAAATCTGCATGATCTATGTGTTAAAATAGGTTAGTGTTCCTAATTTAAGGCTGGATATACACACGTATTACAGTCTTTAGTAGGAGGTACTAAACATTATGGTGTGAGATTGAGGTGAATTGACTTTTCAGTAAGTGTAACAAGAGACTAAAATTAAATTTTAATGATACATTGACAGTGACCATCTAATGTTTAGTCAATAATTCATATATCTTCATAAATGAATTCTTTAATTTATTTAAAAAGAACATTTGCATTAACCATTCTGATGCTGTCATTAAATCTCTCTACTTCTTTTTTTTTTTATGCCAACATAAGAAAGGTGATCGATCAACTTTGTGAAGCCAAACGAAATGATAGAAAATTATACAAATATACAAAGACTCAAAAGAAAAATTTGAAAAACTGGAAAATGATATTATTTAGGCAACTACAATATACGTGACATCTCTCCTTTTGTTTACAGGGTTTTCAGTTTGATTTTTATGTTGACGAGGAGGGAGTAAATCCTAGACATGTCGGCTACTGCTATCTGCTGCCAGTGGATCTGAAAAAGTCCAACGACTCCAAAACCGTCCCAATCACAGGACTCAATCATAAGCCCATTGGAAAAATAGCCTGTAAGTGTACTGTAAACATATTTTAAGACTTAATTACAAACTCATGGGAAAGTAGCTTGTAAGTGTATTGTAAAGGTATCACACCAAACCCAGAGGGGAAAAAACATCTGGTAAGTATCCTGATGAATTGCAGGTTGTTATACTCTTAGGAAAATAAGCAAGAGGTATGCTGGAAATACTCTACATGAAATATCTTGGTGAGAAGGTTTATTGAATATTTAAGAAAAAAAATGCTTATCCTATGGTTTATCATTGTACTGTCTTTTTGTTCTGTCTTTTCATAGTGTCAGATATAGTTCTTTTTTACAATGCATTTTTTTTACAGCACTGAAAAAAGATTATCATTGACTCAGAAAGTTTTTTTCAAGGACGAGGACAAATTAAAAGCATAATAATATCCACTGTTTTTATGAATTTGTAGGTCACCCCTTTGCTGATCCTGTGCAAACCAAAACACGTTTTATACTCAACTCTAGTATTTCTTAAAGGTTTACTTTCTCCCAGGAGTATGGAAATAAATCCAGCAAGCTCTGTTCTATTGAGAGTATGCTCCATGTACCAAAGATTTTCATTCTAAATCACTGATTTCTCATGTCAGTGTATTGGAATAAAAAGGTAATTGTCTTTGCCCTTTGTCTGCTAGGAATATGTATATCAGGCATTACCTATTTCTTACAGTGGATTATCTTATTGTGAAACCTGTGCCTGGTTTAGATCTGAAAATGGATGTGAGCTACCAAAACTATTGGAAGTTTGAGCGCAAGTCCTTGGATGTGGGCCATCGGGGAATGGGCTCGTCATACAAGCACAAAAAGTAAATCACCTTACCAGGAGTGATGTGTTCATATTTCTGTAATATATCTAAAACTTTCTTAATAATTTGTATGTATCAGAGATTGATACCAAACGTGGATTGGTTATTTTAGCTTACCTGAGCCAAATGCCCATGTGGGCAATTCTGATCAAAGATTGTATGACTTTTATCTGTCTGTTGATGTCTAGGTCTGTAAGATTTTCCCATTTGGCCAGAATCTGTGACACAGTTTTATCAAATCTTGCCACAAAACATAACGGTGTGATGGGAACTCTATTTTTCTTTTTTACCAATAATGGCCAACCTCTCTTTTAAGGGAAGAAAATTTGTTTTAAAAAAAAAATGGGGAAGTTAGAAATCTCTATAATTTCATGATAGAAAAAAGCAAAAGTAGTTGAATACTAGCAACATTTTTTTTCTCCTGAAGGAAATCCACCAACTTTGATTTAAAACCTCCTTATTAATGACAGAATCCCAAAATATTAATTTAAGATTACCGGTATTTTTTTTTTTTTTTTGTACTCTGTGTTATGCATTGGATTTTCTTCCCCTTGGTCTCTCTGAAAGGTGCTGACCTGCATTCCCAAAAAAGACCTTTGACCCAAAGTATTCCTGGCTAAAGTCCTAATTATTTCAAACAGGCAGAAAGTTTACCCCAAAAATTAAATAAATCTGCGCATTTACTTAAGATGCACTATTATTCTTGGGTCTGAAATTTTTAAGAATTAATTGTCTTAATTAAGCATTTCATCTAGTGAAGTTAATTTTATTTCCAATATTCATAAAAGCAATGATGTATTAATTTATGAAATGATATCAAAAAAAAATATATAATATATCTAATTACTTTAGTTTGTGGCAGCAACAAAGAGTGTCATATTTTTTTTGTAGGTTGGCAGCTGTGAGAGAAAACACCGTACAATCTTTGCAAGATGCAGCAAGCCATGTAAGATATGTACACAACCATTGTAAACAACTATCACTTACAGCTAGCATTTCTGTTATGAAGTTTTCCACTGGATGTACATGTATAATTTTGTAAATATTTAAATAATTAAGGATTTTTTTTTTAATTTAAAAAAGGGGGACTCAATTTTGGGCTTGCAAATCTTTTACAAAAGGTCTTCAATTCATGTGTATTCAAACTTACTGAACCTAGTTTTGCAGTTCGTCTATTTTGCAATTATTGAAACTCAAATTCAAAGAAATTAAGTACATGTATTTTGTTTATTATATAGGGAGCAGATTTTGTTGAATTCGATGTCCAGCTGAGCAAAGACATGATTCCAGTTATTTATCATGACTTCCATGTAGCCATTACCTACAGGAAGGTAATTATAACATTCACATTTTCCACTTAAATTTTTACCACATAGTAACCACAAAAAGATTCTTAAGTAACATATTAAAATCCAAATTCACACAATTACTCAGTATTGTTCAATGTACATGTATTTCCTCCTACATATTTACATATAAATTTCATGAATTAGTGATTATTTTTTATTTTCATATTCTTCAAGGTATTTTTTGTACAGATATCTTTATATATGTTTTTATGGTGTTTTTTTTTTAGAAAAAGAGAGAAGAGCTTGAATTTTACCAAGCTTCTGTCAAAGATCTGACTTTGGCAGAACTTCAATCCATGAAGGTATAAAGTTGTTTTTTTTTCTTAGCTCCTTTTTACAAACAAGTTAATTTGATCCTATTGACCTATGGTGCTGTTAGGCATAAGCATTACTGAGCTAATCAACTTTATTAATATGTTATTGCATTTGATACATAATACATAACAAGATATATCCCAACATAATAAGAATATGCTATAATTTAAAAAAAAAATGTGGTACAAAGTGATAAATTTCATAGATGTGCAATTGTAATAGGTGTACATACATATTAACTTCTGCTGTCTTTAACAGGACCAAATCTTTTCACTACTATGGCTATGTACTAATGAAATAGCATAAATTGTGGTGTCAGTCTCCATGAAATGTCAATTATGTATTGCATTATGTTGTAATGGTTGAAATGTTAAATGTGTTGAAGTAAATTATTTGTTGACTTAAATTTCTTTTCAACTTATAAAATGAAATTTTGTGAATAATTCATCCATCTTGCTACATTCATTGTTAAAGTGATGTACAGTATTCTGTGTATTGTCAATTTGTGCTGTTATGTGATATGAAAGAAATTAAGCAAATCAACTTTTTTTGTAGCTGACACACACCTCTAGAATCTCCGAAAATGACAGAGGTGAGTAATTGACATAATCTTCAATTTTTCGTTTCTTTTCCACCTGTTAGTGTATATTTCAACATATCCCTCTGAACAAAATGCATTTTTCCTCTTCAACATGTTCAATTTGATGCCAGAAGCTATTTGATTTTCATAACAAAAGGTTTAAGTTGGATTCATAGTTGAATATGAATTATGCGCTGTGAATCAAAGGATCTTATTAGAAAGGATCAAAGGATATATAAGATTGCAACTTTTCTTTTCCACTAATAATAATTACAAACCAGAAGAGCTACAGTCTTGGAAGAGACTTTTACTTTAGCACTATTAAGAATATGTTGGCATTTCAATTAAGTTAATTTAATGCCTTTAGAACTTCTAAATACCAGATTTTGATTAGGGGTGAAACGATACACCTCCTTCACGGTTCGGTACGTATTGTATAATTTTGTTTCGGTTCGGTTATTTTCGATACGATACATTTTGATAGAAGGAAACAAATTCAACGTTGTTTTATGCTTTCTTTTTCTTAATCTAGTCACATATTTTACGAATTTCATTTGCAAATTGACTAGAAGAAATTGATTAAAATTATTTGACTGTCAAAAATTATTTTACAAGCTATCAGTCATCAAAAATTTATGTTTTCTATATTTATTTATACTGAATAACGTGTTTTACCTTGTGCCAAACCCGACTGAATAACGATCCCGACCGAAAAATGAACCGAACTGAAAACTAGAGATTTTGCACCGTGTATCAAACCGAGAAAAAATACCGCGGTGAATCGATACCGCGGTGAACCGTTTCACTCCTAATTTTGATTTACCCTTTGAAAATAGAACAGAGTTTTAACACTAGTCTGTTGATTTAATATATACATCCAATAAATGTTATCTCCTTTATTTCTTATGAAAACCATGGTCATTTATAAATATTTTAATGCCACTAAGCAAGTCACGTTCCTGTATAGCTTTCTTTAGCAGTGGCTCTTCCATCAGTGAAACATGCAATGATGTATATCAATGGTACAATTTTTAACATACTTAATCCTACTTTGTATGATTATTTATACAGACATACAATGTAAATATAAACAATGAAGTGTTTTCTTTGTTTGTTAGTATGAGAATTAATGTTGCAGCTATTGCAGACAAACTTAATGCGGGTTTAGGTATTTTTTCTGCAACAGCTGCAACATTAATTCCCATACAAATTAACTAAAGAAAGCATTTTGTTGTTTATACTTTTCAAATATAAGTTTTAACTCAATGTACAGGAATAATTTAACTGAGAAAATAATTTGTAACTGTTCCTTCAAATTTCATTTTCCCCTCCAATGTTTGCATCATAGTTTTGTAGTAATACATGTTGTAACATTTTTATCTAATGGCAGTATAATTTTGTTATGAAGAACATCACACATCAGACCCAAACACACTAGATACAGTATAAGTTTTATATGAATCATTTATTTAATAAACATATATAATAAGTAGTTGGATTTTTTTGTATTTTAAAGATGGTATCCATGATGACGACATTGATCCCTCAGACCTCCAACCATTTCCCACACTGGAGAGGGTATTTGAAGCTGTCAATCCCTGTACAGGATTCAATGTGGAAATCAAATATCCACAAGAGAAAGTGGTGTGTGGAAAGTGGCACTATTTTGTTGCTTGTGATTTTGAATGTTAATGGAAAAAATATAGGATTTCATAACCAGATAGACTGTACATGTACATTTATATATCTTGTAGGTGAATGTTTTTCAGAAGTGCATGTTTCTTTGTCTCCTCATTAAAAGTAAGCTACTGGTATTTTTTTCTTTTGTAGAATGGGGAATTTGAGGAAATAAATTACCACGACAGGAACAAGTATGTGGACATCATACTAAGGGTTGTTTTGAGGACAGCAGGTCGTCGCCGAGTTGTCTTCTCCAGCTTTGATCCAGACATTTGTACTCTGTAAGTTGTTTCTAAACCCTAGGAATAAATTGCCGTGAGAGAGGTAAATAATGGTTGTAATACATGTTTATACATGTGTAAATCATATAGCAATATTTTACTCCTTTTGCTGCCTAAACATTTGACTTTTGAATTATTATAAGTAGTTCAATGCCATTAAGGTGGGATGATTTACCAACTATTCATGAATTGCTACATTGAGCTGCCTGATGATGATAAAATCTGTTGAATCTTTAAAAAAAAACTGTGTCAAATATTTCAGAAGTATTATAATGATGCTCATCATTTAATTAACAGTGTGGCTTATATCGGGAAGATTTGCTGCTCTTGTCTGTTATTGAATTATTTGCTAGGAGACTGAATGCACTTTTGATATGGGTATTACTGTATTTCAGATTGCAAAGGAAGCAGAATAAATACCCCACACTTTTCCTCACCAACGGAGAGGATAAAGAAAAATATGTTCCATACTTGGATTTAAGGACCAGATCTATAGATATGGCTATCCATTTTGCTACATTTTCCAATATCTTGGTATGTTTTCTGAACATAAAATAAATGAGAGATTTATCCCATATAATTTACGCATGTACGAGGGCTGTTCAGAAATTACGTGGACTTGTTGCACAGAAAAAATATTTGACAGCATAATAGGCAAAGAGTCACACAAAATATAAAAGAATCTTTACTTATATGGTCATGAAAATTCCATATCAGAATGTTGTAAATTGATATCAATTTTTTGGTGATTTAACAGGATATATCATGAAGTCACAGTGCAGTAAAATATTCGACATCCCAGGCATTACGAAAATGAGAGCTTTCATTTCCTCAACATTTTCTATCACAATTTGATACTGTACACTTTGGGTTACCTTATTCACTCAGCATAAACATCCCTATACCATTTCTGGTCAAGCTTAAAATCTATCAAACTATAATAGAAAATTCTTTTTTTGTTTTCAACCCCCAAACAGCCGATATTTTTGAAATATTGTTTGACGCTGGTCACTCTCAATCACATTTTTATCAGTCCAGATAAAGTTTTCATTGATGACCTTCTTCCTGTCTCGAATTGCTTTTTACTGAGGTCTAAACGTCCAAAATTCCTCTTTGCTATTTGTAGATAGATGTCGGGAGTACCCTGGTTTACTACATATTTCATCAAGCATATTTAGGGTCTATGTTGGCATTTTCTTAATTTGTTTAAAGTGCGCTGCTCCGTCTATTCAGGAGACATCATTTTTACAGTTGTTTGTATAGGAATCGCATCGGAGTGAAATTACTATATTTTTGTTCGTACTTCAAATATTACTGAATACATAATAATAGAACAATAAAAAAGATATCTTTGAGAAAACTGTCGAAGAAAATTGCAAATTATAGAAAATAAATGAGTAAAGTTTTGGATACCGCACGTTTGTTTTTCAAATTTTTTGTCGTGCTCTGTACATCACCATCAGCGATATCAAAAGAGCAATAATTTTAGAAGAAATTAATTAAAATCCAAATATTTTACCAAAATTTTTATGGAATCTTTAAGAAAAATATTTCTGTAAAATTTCATTACTATTTGATGTCCGTAAGAGTAAATAATAGCATTTTATATAAATGAATAAAAACTGTTTTACATGTATATAAAGTCATATACAACAATAGTTTATGTTGAGGTAATTTGCATTCTAATCTAATGTTTCAATTGACTTTCAAAAATGTGTATCATGTAGATAGATTAGTGTGGAAGTGCATAGAATAGTGACTGGAAGAAAAAAATTAAAACAAGAAAGAATGAGCTGATTTTAATTTTGTTTTTGTTTCTGTTAGGGAATTGATGTCCTCACCTCAACGCTATTTCAAAATATGGACAAAATTGAGAATGTCAAAAAAGCCAAGCTGGTTCTGTTCTGCTGGGGGGAGGACAATAATGATTCTAATGCAATAAATACACTGAAACAGAACGGAGTGGATGGAATTATTTATGACAGGTAGGTGGAATGGAATCTTACTCAATCCAAAGAGTTGTGGAATTGAGAAGTAATAGAATAGTATGTGTTGACAATAGGGTAGATTTTGTAAGTTTGTTTAAAATGTAAGTTGGGGGTTCCAGTGCCTATTTTATTGAGAAGAACGGGGCTTTTAAGAGAATTTTGAATATGTTATAGGTGAAAATGCATCATGTAAGTCTGTCTTATTTCGAATTACTGTATCATACTTGTACAGTTATGGAAATTTTCTTGTACCAACTCCAGACTAGAAAAAAAGATTTAGTTGTGCAAAGGTTTGTTTTGTTTGTTCCATTATCCTATACAAAAGGAAAATGTAAAAGTCAGAATGTTCTTCAAAAACTTGAAAGATTTCTCTTCATAGACATCTACTAGACTTGGACTTTGGAGACTGAGGTACAAAATTTAAAAAAAAATTCACCTGCACCTCTGGTATGAGTGAATCCTTCCCTTGATTTTTCTGTACAAAATAAACAATTTCATAACAGTGACCTAACAGTACACTTGTATACATCTATGTGTTTATTGTAAAATGTATAGTCAGTCTGGTAGTATACACACTATTTCAGTAACTTTCTGAGAGTACCATTAATACATAATCTCTAGTAATAAATCAATTCTATCTGTAACTCAGGTAAGTGTACACTATGTTACTTTGTAGGTAAATTGTATTTGTCACCTGAGTCTCTCATGTGACCCAGTGTAATTAATGTGTGTTCTTCAGCTGTTGTGTATCTTTTGACTTCTCAATGTTGTAAGCTTCTTCACTGAAGCTATATTATATTGAATAATTTCCATCCCACTTTAGTAATATTGCATTTACAGGTTAAGGGGCACAAAAGGTGTGAATTTCGTAACCCATGGCTTCTAGGATCGTGATCGATGGGGCCAAATCCCCCACATTTTATTTATCATGTTCAGATCATACATACTCTATGTGTTTGTGGGAGTGAGATGAGCTTATTTTGGAATGATTCACATCTTTAGAGGTCATCTTTACTCATGGACATCTAGCATACAAATTCAGTGCAAGAAAATAATAAACAATGAGCTCTCTGTACATTATTGTATCTCATGTATTTGGATCCAGATTTCATGCCCCAGAGTTGGGCTGATTTTAAATTGCAGCAGACATTGAAAATATGCTGATTTTACAGCTGGACATTCAGCAGACGAAGAGCATGTACTAATTGATTCATTAATGTGATTAAAATGGCAATGAATTTAATTTTCTCAAATTTTATTAAGTATTACTGTTTGAGGGATTTAATTTTAATCTACATGACTCTTTCATTTACAAGTTTTATTTCAAAATGTGTAAAATCTAGTTAATTTATGCAATATTAATTTGCATATTTTTTTAGTGGCATGAATAATAGTAACTATTGTCTGCTGGATTGCATAGGAAAAATAGTCTATAGGTATATGATGTCTTGTCCATCTGCATTAACAGTGTTGTGATTATAGATCTTCAGACTTCACACATAAGTATCATTAGAGTTGACCTAGTTGTTGAAATTAGTAAATAGGACCTTTTCCTTCTTGTGGTTGACTTACCTGTATATGTACTCTGAATCTGACATCACCTTCCCACAGAGAAATTAAGCATGTATGATTTAGGCTGAGATATTTTAGATATTGCCATGGAAATTGACACTGGCTTTGAATTCTATTTTTTTTTTTTTTGGGGGGGGGGGGGGGGGAGGGGGGATTAATCATTTAACTCAAGCAAATCAGGATGAGAGATCTCAGAAAGAGCTGACCTTCAGTGGGGTTGTTTTAGACCTTGTTCATGGGAAATTATTCACAAATTTCATCATTTTCTTTTACATACATGTATTTATATTTATGAATAGTTTGCAATCTGGCCCTATGCCTTTTCACCAACAAAATTAAGAGAAAGAAAATGAAAGTAATGTTTGCACAGTAAAATTTAACTGTAAGGGAACCTACTTGTATTCTTCAATTTTTGCCATATTTTTCAGAACTTTGATGAATAACAATTGGCATGTTACAAAAACTGAAGTATTTGAGGCGCCAACTACCTATTGGCCAAATGGTCTTAGACACAGTGACTCCACTGGGTCCAAATTTATTGCCAGTTTATCAGATTGTAAGTGTGCATGAACATCTTACCTTAAGAGTCATGTACATGTAGCATCTATACTGTATTGGTGATGCTGTTGTCACGTGTTGCTAACCTTACTACTTCCTTTACCTGTAGCTGTGTGACACAATTGCTATCTCTGTTTGGTGTAATTCAAAGAGATTAAAATTATCACATTCATGTAAATTCACTGAAAATTAATAACCTGCATTCACACCTAAATCTTAATAATACTAGTAGTAGGTCATGAAATTTAGATCAGTGTAAAATTTATGAAATGAAAAAATATTTATATGTTGTATCACAGAATTTTATCTAAGCTGTATCACAGAATTTTATATAAAATGTTTGTGGTAATATTGCCTGTGTTGAGCATGTGTGCATTTGTTCATTACTTTCACCCCTACAAATGTTACTGTGATTTAAATTCCAGACATTGGTCTTGTTGACCCATTCAAAAACTGAAGGTTAAAACCAGTTTCCAAAAAAAGGGGGGTTATAAACAGGAAATTGCTATAGACTATTTTCTTTTATTAAATACCATGAAAAAAAAATGTATAGAATTATATACTACAAAGACAATTCAAAAGGTCAAGGAATCTACATACAGTTGAACTTTGGTATCTCAAACACTGATATCTTGAATACCATGGATATTTCGAAATGATTTAGAAGTCCAAACCACTGATTCTTTAAGTATTTTACCCCTGATATCTCGAACCCTCAAATATTTCGAAGTTTTTTCTCGGTTCCATCAAGTTTGAGATTAAAAGGTTTGACTGTAATATGGATATTGTTATTGCTCACAGTGGTTCTTACCATGAACTATTATCTATTCCGTTAATACATAGCACTGTGTACTGGTCTACTCTAATACCATGGATATGTCAAAGTAATTTGCAAGTCCCACTTATTCCTTATGTATTTTACCCTAATATCTCAAATCCTCAGATATCTTTAATTTTTATCCTCGGTCCATCAAGTTCTAGATAAAAAGGTTTGACTGTATTTCGCAAATGAACATTAGTACGGGAAGATTTGGAAAAATTGGCAATTTTTTTTCACCACATCATCTCATATTTAATAAACTATGAAATGCATGGGAAACAAATGTGTTTTTCTGACAGCAAGTAGAAAGTGGGGGCTTTTCCAAGCATAAAATTTCTGTAATATCTTCATAGTAACCCAACTTTCAATTCATTTAGATGATTTGTCAGTTGTGTCATGTTGGTACCTCATTTAGCATGTAAATTAAGTCTGATGTCTTATAGCTTCTTCAACCTATTCAAACTATGCATGCATGTTTGTCCCAAAAGAAAAATGTTATCAAGAATTAGTGATTGAAGAATTTTCTTTACCTATTCTGAAGTACTAGTATTGGGGTACATTTCCACTGATATTGTAAAGTGAAAACTCAAATGTAACAATTTTTCTTTTTATCATACCTCCATGTAGTAGTCACTTCCTAGTTTTATTTCCCTGAATAATTTACTTTATTTAATAATAGTCTCACTGTAGTCTTGCCAAAGCCACTGGTAACTCCTCAGATGTTAATATCTGCTGAACACAGAAAAATAAAAAGTTCTGAACACATTTGTAGGGGTGTGCTTAGTTCTTGTGTTATTTTTAGTCATTTGCCTCTCTTCAAAAAAACTGAGTCTATGAAGGAAAGGTATCTGTTTTAAACATTGCTGATCTATAGAGATTCCCCTTTTATATTTTCATTTGAAATCTTTTAAAGTATAGTTGAAAGTTATCAGTAACAGTAGAGAGAGAAATAGACTGGATGTATTTACTGATGTTGATGTGAGGCTGCCTTTGGTTACAGCTTGAGCTTTAGGTGAAGCTACCGGTACATGTATCGAAGCTTTGAATTATTTCCCTTTTTTTAGCTCACCTGAGCTGAAGGCTCAAGTGAGCATTTCTGATCGAAATTTGTCCGTTGTATGTCTTCGTTGTCACTGAACTGATTTCTGCTTTTTCCTAGCCAAAGTGCTCAGGTGAGCGATGTGGCTCCTGGGCCTCTTGTTTTACTTTGCTGTATACATGTATCACAAATATATGCATACAAACTTTATAATATGACTGAGAGCCTATATATAAGAAATTTTTTAATGTGCGCTTGTATGATTTTGAGATCTGAAGTAAATGCTCAAAAATATGATACTTATCTTGTTAAAGTTTATATAATTATTTATTTTACAGTGTAATTATGTTTTACATTTTACATTTGTTTTTATAATCTTTTTTAATTCTAAAACAATGGATTATGTACACATCATTAATTTATAGAAATATGAAATGGAAATGATTTATATTAAAGGAAGTACTTTATTAGGAGTCTGTAGGGAGGGGGGGGGGGTGTCAACTGTGGAATTTAAATATTATACACTGATTTTCCTTTTATTGAAAATTCAATGCTTCTGGCAGAATTATGATTATATTTCAGCTACTGGTAATTTCGCATATATTTAACTGGCTCTTGCAAGAATGAAAAATACATGTAGTATGAGCCTGTCATTATACAACTTTTTGAATTTGAGAGACTAAATTAATTTTTAAATATCATTTCAGAATTGATTTCTTCAAAACTGGACAGAAGAGTGTGTTTGCAGTGGAAAGAGAACAAACGGAGAAAATTCTGAAAACAGCCGGACTTCTCAGTCCAAACGCAGGACTTCAAGCCTTGGAATTGTCACCATCGGGATCAGATCTAGAAGCTGAATACAACAACTGATTCCTTCATTTGTATTTCTACAGTATCTGGATATTTATTAGCCATGTTATTTATTTCCTGAATTTTGTGGTCTTTAAAACTTGGCCAGTTGATAAACCAATTTTTCCAGTTGCTGTTGCTCAGTGATAATTTTAAAATCCATGCACAAGTACATGTATCTCTTGAGAATCATTCATTTATACAGTATAAGTAAATTATCATTTTAAAATTTATTTCAATTTTTTTTAGTAATATCATAAAAATATTCTGTATTTGAAAGATTTAATGAACTGTTACTATGTAACAAGTTTTATTTGTTTCTCTCATGAATGTCTCTGAAATGAATAATAATTATTCTGATAGAATATGTACATTTTTTACATAAAAGTGCATTCTAAGAATGATTTTTATTATAATTCACACTAGACTGATGATACATCTAAGGACTAGTGTATATTATAATTGTATTATAAAGCAGTAGATGCAGTCCAAAAGATACTTACAATTTTAAATTACAAACTACAGTAAAACACTCTTTTGGTGAACTTCTGTATTCAGAATAACTCAGATTTATCCATATTTCTAAATACCCTATACATTTATAGTAATTTTTTATGTCTTGATGACCATATATACCGGTAATTCCATTATGAGTAGGTATAGTCACTGTATCTGCATGTGTTCACCATAATGGTGTTTAACTGTGAATAGTTTTTTCTTGTCAAAATTTACTTTCAACAGTTTGCTTATAGTGTGATAAAAGACTAAATATTTTATGTAAGCTTATTTTATGTAAGCTAACTTTTTATTTGACTTAATCTACTTTAAATTTGTTTGAGACTGACTCATGCAGTAGAGATAAACATGTATATGCAGTATGTTGATTCATTCATTGTGGGTGGGATTCCTGGATCTCCACTTATAGTTGTCAAAGAAATAAAGGAATCTTTAACTTTTTTGATATTTTAGGAAATTTTTAAATGATATCAGAGTAGGATGGACATTGTGGTATTATAGTCATCCAGTATATTTATAAATTCATAATTACTAAAATATGCTTATGTCATATTTGTACCTGTAATAATTTTGATTTTGCTGCACGAAGTCTGATTTCTTAAGATTGTCTTATTATGGAGTTACAGTCTTTAATACATAAAAATTGAAATGTCATCTCTTGCAATTTAATGAAAAGTTTGTGTTTTGATCATCAAAATGATTAATGGTTCCTAGTCTTATCTTTTTTCTCTCAGGGGAAGTAAAGCTGTGCTTTTTTACCACTGCTTTCTTCTTTTTTGAGAAAAATATAAGAAATATGATTTCTTTCAGCGGGTATTTGCTTTTGTTTGTAGTTAAATGATGGTTTTGGTTTCGAAGACCTGCTTAAGCTTACTTTACTTGATTTTTATTTTCAAGTTGTTGTTTTATGTTTTTAAGGTTTTTTAGCTCACCTCAACGAAGTTGGGGGAGCTTATGTAATACCCTCGGCGTCGGTGTCGGCGTCCCAGGTTAAGGTTTTTGGAGCAGTTTTCTTTTCAAGTACTTCTATGGCCTATATTAGTCAGAGATGCATGGAGGATGCTTCTAGTGTGTTTCATTGTACCATTTAAGGTTTCAGATGCTGCAATTTCAGCTAAAGAATGACCAGGTTAATGTTTTTGGAGCAGGTTAAAGTTTTTTTGGAGCAGGTCTCATTTCCAAGTAACTATAAGCCCTATATTGACCAAACTTGCATGGATGATACATCTAAGGATGCACACTACTGAACTTGCTTCGGATGCTGGATCTGACCTACATTTTCTGGATGAGTGACTAGGTTAAGTTTTTTGGAGTAGATCTCATTTCCAAGTAACTAAAAGCCCTATATTGACCAAAATTGCACGGATGATACATTTAAGAATGCACACTACTGGACTTGCTTCAGATGCTGAATCTGACCTATATTTTCCGGATGAGTGACCAGGTTAAAGTTTTTGGAGCAGATGTCATTTCCAAGTAACTATAAGCCCTATATTGACTAAACTTGCATGGATGATACATCTAAGGATGCACACTACTGGACTTGCTTCAGATGCTGGATCTGACCTACATTTTCTGGATGAGTAACCAGGTTAAAGTTTTTGGAGCAGATGTCATTTCCAAGTAACTATAAGCCCTATATTGACTAAACTTGCATGGATGATACATCTAAGGATTCACACTACTGGACTTTCTTTGGAGGCTTGATCTGACCTACATTTTCCAGATGAGTGACCAGGTTAAAGTTTTTGGAGCAGATGTCATTTCCAAGTAACTATAAGCCCTATATTGACTAAACTTGCATGGATGATACATCTAAGGATGCACACTACTGGACTTGCTTCAGATGCTGGATCTGACCTACATTTTCTGGATGAGTAACCAGGTTAAAGTTTTTGGAGCAGATGTCATTTCCAAGTAACTATAAGCCCTATATTGACTAAACTTGCATGGATGATACATCTAAGGATTCACACTACTGGACTTGCTTCAGATGCTGGATCTGACATACATTTTCCGGATGAGTAACCAGATTAAAGTTTTTGGAGCAGATCTCATTTCCAAGTAACTGTAAGGCCTATCTGAACCAAACTTGCATGGATGATGCATCAAGGGACAAACAATCTCAAAACTTGCTTCGGATGCTGGATTTGACTTGCATTTTCTGAATGAGTGACTTGTTTTAAGTTTTCATATAAGTCTATTCCCAAGTAACTGCAAGCCCTATCAGACCAAAATTGCATAAATGTTGCATCTACGGATGCACACTCCTAGATTATTAGTTTAGTGTGGGACTTTGCCTTACTTAAAGACAACATCTTTGAGGTGAGCTCTGTAATCTCTGATTACCTATGTTATCAACCAGTAATGAATATTTTAGTGCATCCTGTGTATTAGATATATATTGCAGACATTGTACATTTTATGTTTCATCAGCCTTTTGTAGCTCTTCTTCAAAGAAAAGCTCATAATGCTTTGATAAAAAAAAAATATGCAAAGAATATTTGTATTTTTTATTTATGAATATACATCCATGAAATTATTGAGCAAGAAAGGGGGTAAAAAAGATATATACATCAGAATGTCTGGAGAAGGTATAAATACATAATAAATATTTTGGGTGAAAAGTGTTAGATTATTTTAAAGTTCTAGTTTCAAAAAAAGATAAAGTAGCAAGAATTGACTCTTTGTATAAATAAGGATAACTCAAGAACTTGATCTTGCTGGTTTCAAACGTTTACCAAGCAGTGCTTTAATTAATCCACTGACTTCCCCAGATCATACAAGTGATAGAGAGTTGTAAGGTTGCATTTGAAGTACGAGACTCAAGGCAAAATATTATCAAATTTAATTTAAATTTCAGCCAGAGACGAGGTGAATATGCAAGTTGTACGATGATTCTGATTTTCACTGAATTTTGTTCATGTGTCCGAGTTTTTAACAAGTATAAATGACTATTTTTACACCATTAATTAATGCTTTATTTTAGCAAACTTTCAGTGAAAGTACAGAGTACCTAGAACTATTCATATAATACTGGAAAATTACTGTGCAGCATGTGAAGATCGTGTGTTATATTAAATCGATCGATCCTTTTGCTTTATTTATGAAATATATGGTACCGGTACTTGGCAGTACAGTAATCTCAAGTTATTCTGTTTTACGTAGGACTGAGTGAAAGATAGGAAATGTGAACAATACATGTATATATAGAACTGTGATCTGAGGAAAATGTGCAGAGACAATCACCGAGATTCGTCCATGAAATCTATTTATTGTTGAGTTATTGAATGGCGTATTCAGCAGTTCAGTGCGTGACATTTTTATAGCGACACAACGTACCAGAATCATGCAAAAAGTTGCTGACAAAGCTAATTTGAACCTTTTCTTTCATGCACAAAGTAATCTGACCAACTACTTGACTGTACATAGTGTGTTAAGACACCAGCGACTAGTTCTGTTTGAAAAACTATTCTGTATGCTTGTACATGTATTAAAAAGGTATAGGATTTTTTTTTATTATTGTTCAAAGCTAGGGAACACGTGCCTATGCTTCAGTCATATGGAAAGATTAACAGTGGATTCACTTTTTGGTGGAATCGGTGCATTTTCAGAGTAATTTATGAAATACGTATACTTTAGGAATGACTCTAATTCTTGGCCAAATTATTCGAGTATAACCTGGTTTGGGTCAGTTTACGCTTTATAATCCGCGAAGCGGATTATAAAACAGCGTAAACTGACCCAAACCAGGTTATACTCGAATAATTTGGCCAAGAATTAGAGTCATTCCTTATAATTTAATTTTAAAATCATTAAATAACTATGGGTGTAAAATTTCGTTGCTTTTTATTAGTTCAAATTTGCCGCTCAATAATACAACCGTAGTAACGGAAGTGATGGGAAGCGAGGGGAGGTAAAAACTGATACATAGGCCTAGCAGCTTGTTTACATGTGGTAAGATCGAATTATTGTTTGAAGTTAAAGGTATATTTATTAAATCTGGAATTTTCCATGAATCCCGAGGACTGGAAATAAGAGGATTGGATGCATACAGATGATTCAGCTGGTTGTCCGGGGGGGGGGGGGGTCCCCATACCAAACCAGGTTATACAGAAATAATTTGTGTTCCTTTTTGGATATTAACCAATCAGAGGCTAGAATACAAACAAAATTAAATTATAGTTATGTAACCAAATAATCCCCCCATCTCCAAGAAACACGGATCTTACGGTAAGTTGCTAAAAAGAGAAAGGAAAGCGGCTTGTCTAATTTTTCTCATAATGCCATACATCGCTTTTTGTGCTTGTTCATATAAGTGTTTTTTTTGTTTTACAAAAGGAACCTGTGCGTGAAAAAACAACGCCTAGATATTTAAACTCTCTATCATTTTCAATAACTAAGTTGTCGTAATAAAATTTTCTTTTTAACATAGGGCCCTTTGAAAATACTAGAATCTTCGTTTTTTCGACATTCACTTTCAACTACCATTGTAAACAATATGTCTGAAATTTATTGATTGCATGTTGTAATTCATCGGCTGATTCAGCCATAATAACAGTGTCATTCGCATAAAAGAGAAACAATAATTTAAAATAATTTAATTTTGTTTGTATTCTAGCCTCTGATTGGTTAATATCCAAAAAGGAACACAAATTATTTCTGTATAACCTGGTTTGGTATGGGGACACCCCCCCCCCCCCCCCGACAACCAGCTGAATCATCTGTATCCATACAATCCTCTCATTTCCAGTCCTCGGGATTCATGGAAAATTCCAGATTTAATAAACGTACCTTTAACTTCAAACAATAATTCGATCTTACCACATGTAAACGAGCTGCTAGGCCTATGTATCAGTTTTTACCTCCCCTCGCTTCCCATCACTTCCGTTACTTCCGTTACTACGGTTGTATTATTGAGCGGCAAATTTGAACTAATAAAAAGCAACGAAATTTTACACCCATAGTTATTTAATGATTTTAAAATTAAATTATAAGGAATGACTCTAATTCTTGGCCAAATTATTCGAGTATAACCTGGTTTGGGTCAGTTTACGCTGTTATAAAACAGCGTAAACTGACCCAAACCAGGTTATACTCGAATAATTTGGCCAAGAATTAGAGTCATTCCTAAAATACATTAGTAATTCGTTCTCAATGGTTCTTGAAATACTTTGTAAGCCTGCAATATTCTTGTTCAGTAAAAAATCTTCAAGATCATTAATATACATTGAAAATAAAAAGGGTGAAAGATTTTCTCCCTGCCTTACTCCTACATTACAACTAAAAAATTCTGTGGACATGCCATTTATTTTCACCATAGATTTAACACCTTTGTACATATTTTGAATGTATTGAAAACATTTACCATTTATACCATTAATATGTATCTTGGTCCAAAGCCCATTCCGCAATACAGTATCAAATGCCCGTTTAAAGTCAACAATGGCGCAAAATAGTTTCTTTTATCTTTGCATCAAGATATTTGATAAAAATTGTAAGGTAAGGATATGATCAAGTGTAGAATAATTTTTTCAAATATCTGTAATACATAGGATAATAGAATTGGCACTTAAACATCTTAAGTTTATTAAGTTAAAATATCATCAAAACATAGATATTAAAAATGATTAAAATAGAAATAAAGTCAAAAAGAATATAATTTTGAATGCAAATCATTGACCATTTACAAATTTACTGATTAAAAAAAATTGTATCGATTAATACTAATGAAAATAAAATAAATACTGATTTTAAAAATTGACACGAATTAATTTAAATTTAAAAAAAAACAGAATTAATTTTGAATATTTATTTCATTTGCCACCCTATGCATTATCAGAATTTAAGTATATTTCTATAACCTTTTTCTGTGGTTAATCTAAAACAGACTATAGGTCACCTGTAATTAATTTCTTTTGTTCTCTCCCTCCCCTTACCTGTACACAATTCCCACCCAGCCAAAACCAGTCACCTGTAACAATTTCAGAATTTTGGCTTTGTGGGAAGACACCCTTTGGACAGTTTATTTTTCCCTGTTAGTCAAAAAAATGAAGTTACAGGATTTTGATTTTTTCCCTATTTTTTGTATTTTTCTTATTGATCGATTGATTGATGGACCTTTAAAAAAATACTGCTGTGCCGCAATGGGAAAATATTATGTATCTGGTCTAAGATGTGATGGGATGGTTCGAATTCGCCTAAAGTCTAAGAGCATATTTTAATAATAATAATAATGAAAAAAACTCAATGGTCATTTTTACCACCATGAAAAACTCTCTCTCCTACAAGTAAGAGCCCCAGTTAACGTCCCTACGCTCCTTATATATTGTATTCCCGGTTACGCGGCGCCAAGTCAAGTGTCTCTCCGTGAACCTCTAGCATGCTGAAGTAAATTAGGGGTGGGTGCATGATTTTTTTCGGGGGGGGGGGTGTCCACATGTCAGACTCGGGGAGAAAAGTAAACCATCTGCCCAAACCTGAAAAACCGTTTAAAAAAATATTTCTTAGGGGGGGGGGGTCTTTCCTATGTCAATTTTCCTTCAAACATGACTCCTTACCGTTTTTATAGGAGTCCGTGTTTCCTAGGGTAGGGGGTTCCATGGTCATTTTTTCCGTTACTTTTACATAGGAATTAAATAACTCTTAAATTTCCCACTGACCCCCCCCCCCCCCCTCTAGATCCCACAGACGTTTGATAATGTATTCTTTATTCTGTATTCACATTCTATACTAAAATATTGTGTATTTATGTATGAACAATTGATGATTCTTATAATGTGTTGTGCCTTTGCCAATTATTGTAATTGTGTTTGTGCCAATAAATATTTGTATTTGTATTTGTATTCGGAAATATGAAGTGTGATCTTAACTACTTTAAATTTTATTTTGATGGGGGATAAAGTCATGTACATGTTTGTAGAAGGGAAGAATTCAGCATACAATGTAAAGAAGTGTTCCAACATTGACAAACTAAATTGGGGGAGAAAAAAGATCAAGAATAGTGAAGAAGTGCATACTGCTGAGAAGAATGTTTTGACTGACAAAATTAAGCAGTTGATATCGGGTGTTGATATCATAGCTAGTAATAGTAGGATGCTAAAATGAACAAGGCGAAAAGCAATGCTAATGATTATAACAAATTAAAAAATGCTGTCAGTACGGGAGATGTGACGGCGGTCAGACGATTAATTAAGGGCGGGGTTAATGTTAATTCACGAACACTGGCACATGATTGGGTATGTATTTGCTGATTGATGGGATACAACACGTTTTTACAGGTCCAGTACAATTGGTACATTTACTGATTCAGCTACGTAGCTAAAATTACCTACTGTAGCTTTATTTACCTACCTCAGGTAACTTTATTTAGCTATTTCAAGGCAACTTTTCATAATTTGCTTTTTATTTTAAAAATACAAAAAATCGCAAATAAATGACTACTAATATTTATTCTAGGTACATGTATTTATATTTAAAAATGAATCCAAAGCAGAGATAGTTTTAACATTGCTGCGTAACATTTTTATGGAAAAGATGTTTGAGTAACCACCTTGTGTCCGATGAGGCATGGATAAGTATGATTACTTCACATTGTGCTCATGTTAACCATAACTAGTTTTCTTTGTTATTTCATTCAAGAAGTAACTGTTTGGTCACAAATTAACTGTTGTATACACAGGGCTATAAAAATAATTATTTTTTTTCACTGGTCACTCGGGCTATCACCTTAATTTTTTACTGGTCAACTCAGTACTTTCACTGTCCCACTGGGCAAGTAGATTTTTAAAGGACTGGCCTGAAACCAAAATACAATACTGTAATAATAGTAATATTTTGTTTATATTGTGATACTTAATAGTACAACTTAACAAATCAAGAAATGACAGAACTTGGACACACAACCCTGTCAAGTTAACTAGCCCGACCATAAATGAATATGCATAAAAAAACACTGACCCAAAGGGCATGTGCTCTTTACAACGTACTATTGCTGCCCAGATTAAAAATTAACTGGCCCATGCAGACCAGCAAAATCCGACTTTTGACCAGGTTAAAAAAAGATCATCGTTTTCAAAGTTAAAAATTATCACTGTGTACAGTTACTCAAACAATTGAAATGAAGTGCATCATTTGCTTTAAAGTGTTCAAAAGCAGCAATGTTTAAACTATCTCTGCTTTGGATTGCTTTTTAAATAATCCCTAGTATAAATATTAGTAGACATATTCTCGCAATTTTTGGTATTTTTTAATTAAAAAGCAAAATTGTGAAAAGTTGCATTGAAATAGCTAAATAAAGCTACATGAAGAAGCTAAATAAAGCTTTGGTAGGTAATTCTAGCTACATAGCTAAATGAGCTGATTGTACTGGACTGGTTATATGAATATTGCAGTTGAGATATATGTTAAAAGTAAGAATTTAGAAAAACTTTTTTTTGAGCAAAAGAAATAAGTGTTATGATATTATTAAGACATCCGTATACAGGCATAGTGGTAAGACATATGGTGTTCGTTTTGTTTTTAAAAAAGTGGATGTCCAGGATAAGCCAATTTCTTCTTTCCACTAGTGACTGTAGTGTTATATATGTCTCAAATTATTGTCAAGAGAGAATTATGACATATCATAACATTAGTATTAATAACCTACCTAGTCCTTATTGCACCTAGAGGCACATAGGGCAAAACTAGGGATTTCCATGCTTTTTTATCCTGAGCTTTTTTACTCTGCACCTCCACAGGTAAGTTTCATGTCTAAGTTCTTGCTCACCTGGTCACCTCTATGTTATTTTTGGTTAGCCTCTCCTCCTTTTTTCTTCTGGGGTCCATATAAGGCCACTTTTTTAATGTCATATTTCTTGGCTTTCTAAGATGTGACCTATCTATCTCAATCTGTGTTTCCCCAGTAATGCCCTCATTTAAGTGAATTCATCATTAATTAGTATTAATTGAATATTACCTAAATGACTTGCAAGTACCTGACAGTGTATCTTTGTATTTCAGAATGGAACAACAATTCTCCATATAGCTGTTGCAAACAATAATTCTGATATTGTTAAACTGCTTCTGAGGGCTGGGGCTGATGTGAAGACAGCAAACAATGTAAGCCATTAAATGAGTTTTTAATTATTACTTTCATATTCATAAAGTGTTCAGATAAGTATATCAATGCACATTTAATACCTGGTAATCACACACTTACATTTTAGTTCCCCCAAATCATCTTCAACATAGCAGTATTTACACATACTTTGATTTTATAATCAACATATTATAATTAATTTAGAAATTTAGTTACTCTCTCTTTAGGCATATCGCATGTATGTCACCATGAAAATAAACTTTTTTAATCCAGTTGATATTTACTCTGTAGCAAGGAAGGACTCCTTTACATATTGCTTCAAGATCAGGAAATGCTGATATTACAAAACAACTTATTGATGCTGGATCAGATGTTGATGCCACAACTAAGGTTGGTTGTACAGTGTCATAATATTCCAGAATAGATGAATGATCAACTAAAGTGTTCAAGTTTTAAATCAAAATTTTACTTGTTCAACTCCTGAGCTGCCATTACTGCAGAAAGGATTCTAACTTTCAAAGTTAGGACACATGCAGTCCTGGATAAACTTTTTTGTTCATGATTAATATGAATATTTGATCCCATTTAAGAAGAATAAATCTGTAATGTTATCATAACCTCTTGCAGAAAAGTGAGAGGGAGATAATATTCAAATATATATTTTTAGCTCACCTAAGCTGAAAGCTCTGCAAGTGAGCTTTTCTGATCACCTGGTGTCCAGCGTCCATCCGTTTTGCTATCCTTCTGTAAACTTTTCACATTTTCAATCCTCTTCTTAAAAACCGCTGGACCAGAAAAGATGAAACTTACATGGAAGTATTCTTTGGTAGTTTAGATTCTAAATTGTTGAAATCATGGCCACCGGGGGTAGGTGGGGCCAAAACAGGGAATCAAATTTTTACATTGAAATATATAGGAAAAATCTTTAAAAATATTCCTCTCAAGAACCACTGGGCCAGAAAAGCTGAAACTTATGTGGAAGCATCCTGGGGTAGTGTAGATTTTAAATTGTTGAAATCATGCCCCCCCCCCCCCGGGGGGGGGGGGTAGGGGGGGGCCACATAGGGAATCCAAGTTTTACATTGTAAATATATTAGGAAAAAATTTTGTCAAGAACCACTGGGCCAGAAAAGATGAAACTTATGTAGAAGCATCATGGGGTAGTGTAGATTCTAAGTTGTTGTAATCATGGCCCCCAGGCATTGGGTGGGGCCACAAGGGGGGAAAATCTGGTGAAGAACAGCAGGGCCAAAGTTACTCAGGTGAGTGTTTTGGCCCATGGGCCTCTTGATTCTGATTGTATTGATATGTTTAACAGTTTATGATAATTTAATCTTAATTTAGGTAGGTTGTTCAAATGAGAGCAAATTATTTTCAATTCATTTTATTATTGGGATTCGTCATTAATCCATTTTTTAAACTACTTGACACACAACAGAAAAGAGTAACCTTTTCAGGTGTTTAAAGAATGGAGGATTGGGAATGAAATGTACTGTGTTTTTATAGGATTGTAGGACAGCTTTACATACTGCTACATGGAGAGGACATACAGATGTAGTCAGACTTTTAGTGGAAGCCAATGCTGATGTCAACATACATGATGGTGTATGCATTGAGAAACTTAATATGCGTATATCATTTGCTTGCTGTTGAATTCATTGTTACTCTCTTACGATCATTGTAATAATAATATTTAAGTAGAAATGAATGATTCTTTAAGGAGGGATTCTTGTCTGGTTTCTGACTAGATGAGATATTCAAAGTATATTTGCTTATATGTTTTATATATTTAGATGTAAGAGATTTAAAAGATCATATTTTTCTTTCCTTGTCACAATTGTACAACTTTAAATAGAAATGGTAAAGTGAGTTTGAAATCTAGCAGGGACTGTATTTTTGGCGGAATGGCGGTGTATTAAACTACTTAAGATATATTTTTTCCTGCCTCTCAAAATAATTATATAACCATGAATTTAGTTATAATTTTTACACAATCAAAGACCTGGAGAAAATTTTTAAATGTAAGTTAAATTAATAATAAGGGACTAAAGTTTTAAAATATATCAAAATAAATATGATTTTCCAAACAAACTACAATTATGTTAGCTTTTAAAAGCTTCCAACCTTAGTTCAGATTTGAGCCAAAAATCCGTAAAAAGTGTTTTTTCTCTCTTAGTAAACGGTCAAAACTTTTTGTTTTTGTATCATTTTGTATCTTTATGTGACAACTTTACCATGTGAAAATAAGAAAAATTTAAATATAGGAAGCATATGAAAATAACTAAAATGTCTTAAAATTTTAAGAAAAATAGAGAAAATTCGGATTAGCCAATATCCATTTTAGTTAAATTATTTATGTCAATTTGGTAATATCATCTTATAGACCCTATATGGTAATATCTCATAATCTCTTAATGCAAAAAGAAAAACATTTAATTTATTGAAATAGAAGTAGGCATCAAATGATTGGCAACAGTAATTTTTTATTCTTAATGTCCAGGAAAAAGGTACAAACCTTGACCTGACCTTGCCTCTAATATAAAACAGTCAAATTTAATTTAACTGATACCATCACTTAGTAATATTGTCTTCTTGATTCTGTGAAAATTTCATTGATTTTTAAATATAAGAAATAAGTGTTCTTATGAGAAGAATCCCTCCTTAAAAACAAAGTGTTATCTAACTTTCAACAAATTTTATATTAGTCACTTAATGTATAGTGAAATAAAAAAAAGAATATATCCTTAGAAATGAAGATTGTATGAAATATCTAATTGGTAACACAATTTTGAAATGCCCACATCTATTTATTTAGAAATGATAGAAATGTACATTCACTGTGCATTTTAATTTTTGCATATTATTAAATTTAGATTCCATTGATTTCTTCAGGATAGTTGGACTCCTCTATTCTGGGCAGCAAAATTAAACTACAGACAAATCACACAACTTCTCGTGGAACATGGAGCCAATTTAAATCATCGCATTGTCAATGTAAGACTCTATAATTCTGTAATGCATCAGTGAATTTATCACATGTTTATAAAATCAGAGGTATTACAAATACAAGCCCTTTTCTAAGCAGTATGACATAAGTTTGAAATTAGCTATTTTCAGCACAAGACATCTCACTTTTAAAAACATATATGTATTAAATATGAAAATAAGAGAATATTCTCTTCTAGTGTTAGACTAAAAATTAAGGATAAATCTTTTGCTAAGACTTTCATACATGTATGTAAATTCATTAGCTCACCTCGACGTAGTCGAGATGAGCTTATGCTATAACCCCGGCGTCGGCGTTAGCGTCGGCGTCCCAGGTTAAAGTTTTAGGAGCAAGTCCTATTCCCAAGTAACTATAAGCCCTACCTGGACCAAACTTGCATGGATGATGCATCTAGGGATGGACACTACCAAACTTGCTTCGGATGCTGGATCTGACCTAGATTTTCCAGATGAGTGACCAGGTTAAAGTTTTAGGAGCAGGTCCATTCCTAAGTAACTATAAGCCCTACCTGGATCAAACTTGCATGGATGATGCATCTAGGGATGGACACTACCACACTTGCTTCGGATGCTGGATCTGACCTAGATTTTCCGGATGAGTGACCAGGTTAAAGTTTTAGGAGCAGGTCCATTCCCAAGTAACTATAAGCCCTACCTTGACCAAACTTGCATGGATGATGCATCTAGGGATGGACACTACCACACTTGCTTTGGATGCTGGATCTGACCTAGATTTTCCAAATGAGTGACCAGGTTAAAGTTTTAGGAGCAGGTCCATTCCCAAGTAACTATAAGCCCTACCTTGACCAAACCTAAATGGATGATGCATCTAGGGATGGACATGGCCACACTTACTTCGGATGCTGGATCTGACCTAGATTTTCCGGATGAGTGACCAGGTTAAAGTTTTAGGAGCAGGTCCATTCCCAAGTAACTATAAGCCCTACCTTGACCAAACTTGCATGGATGATGCATCCAGGGATGGACACTACCACACTTGCTTCAGATGCTGGATCTGACCTAGATTTTCCAGATGAGTGACCAGGTTAAAGTTTTAGGAGCAGGTCCATTCCCAAGTAACTATAAGCCCTACCTTGACCAAACTTGCATGGATGATGCATCCAGGGATGGACACTACCACACCTGCTTCGGATGCTGGATCTGACCTAGATTTTCCACATGTGAGACCAGGTTTAGATTTAGGAGTAGTCTCGTTCCCAAGTAACTATAAGCCCTACCTGGACCAAATTTTCATGGATGATGCATCTAGGGATGTACACTAACCAACCTGCTTCGAATGCTGGATCTGACCTAGATTTTCCACATGAGTGAATTTTAGCCATATTTTAACCAAATTAGCATGGATGATGTATCTAGGGATGGACACTTCCAGACTTGCCTTGGATTCTGAATCTGACGTACATTTTCCAGATGAGTGACCAGGGTAATTTTTTTGGAGTAGCTATATAATATTATGGCCTGTAATGATTAAACTTGCATAGATGGTGCATCTAAGGATGAAAACTTCCAGACTTGCTTTGGATGTTGGAACTGTTGGAACTGACCAAAATTTTCTTGATTACTAAACAGGTCAGAAGTTTTTTGAGCAGGTCTATAATTAAATCAAACTTGCATGGATATTGATCTTGGGATGTACCCTAACTGGAAAAAAAATATGATGTGAAATTTGCCTTACATGTAGATAACATTCGTCGAGGTGAGCTTCGTAATCTTTGATTACCGATGTTTTTTCTTATGAAAGTGTGCCTTGTTCTTCGTGTATAATCTTTTTTGAATTCTTTTTGTCTTCTCTGCTCTTTACAAAACCTGCTTTATTTTCTATGAATATCGACAAAACTATCCAATAAAGGGGATTTGAGATGATTCAAAAGAAGGGCCATGGCAAATAAAAGAAGAGATAATTTATAAATAATAAAATTAGTTTTATAGGCATTTAAACATTTCAATCTTCTTTACATATCTCTGACCAAAAATAAAAGAACAATACACAACAGGGTCCCATATTAGCCATAAGCTTGTTAATTATGTTCAACAATGGGTTTTTTTTGTGAATCAATCTAAAATTTGAAATCATTGCTAACTAAATGTTATTCTTGTTCTGACATAAATAAATTTTTCCCCAATTAGACTCCCATTTATCACTGTATGACTTGATGATATATGCCCTTAAATAATACAGAAACATCTCTATTTCATGGTTAACAACAAAAAAGTGTCTAATTAAATGGTCAACAACTAATAATTTAGAGTAGAGTTAATGTAGAGTAATACAAAATGGCAGAAGAAATTGTGAAGTTTCATTTGAAGGTTAGAGAGCCTCTTATAATATTTCTCTTTAAAAGCCTGACTTTTGTTGTAGCTTTTTTAAAAATTATTTACAACCACTGTTCATTTTTTAAGGTCATATGCAATGTACATGCGGTAGACATACATTACAATGTACCTTTCCCATTGATAATTTTTCAAGATATTCTTGATTTACAATCATACTACCATCAGATGTTCTTTGACAAAAAATCAACAGACTTTACCAGGGGTACTGAACAGATATCAAGTGATGAAATTCCTTGAGTCATTCAAAGAAAATGAACAAAAGTTTAGTTTAGCTGGTATTTCATCATAATTTGATTTAGAAGAGATGGACAGCTTTATTAGGCATTATAAATGTCACACAAAGGTCCTTTAATTATTGAAACTCTTAATATACATGTATATAGGGAATAAGTAAATAAAGCTCAAAACTACATTGCATAAGTCCTTAAATTGTTTTATTATTTTTCTCTATTGTTGCTAGCTATCTGATTAGCTCAAACTAGATCACATGATCAAGTATAAAAAGTCTTATAAACTGGGTGTTTCTATTTTAAGCTTCTAAAAAAATTTATAAACCTGCTGTTTCTAAAATTGGAAACGTTTTTCTGTGAAGCAACAATAGTGCTGACGTCACACTGGATGTTTCTAAAAACAGATACTGCAGCTAGCTGCTATTCGTTACTGTGATGTCATAATGCGAATGACATAACAATGCCTTATATTTGAGAAAGTATTGAGTATTAGGAACATGGATTTTAAGACATTTCCTATTAACTGATAAAAAAATAAAACAATTGTAGCCTTTTGATTTGGTACAATCCCTAGATATATAGACCTTAGAGAAAGCATATCAACTCGCACTTTGTGCTTGGTCGATATGCTTTCTCTAAGGTCTATATATCTAGGGATTGACCTTATCAAAAGGCTATAATTGTGTAATATTTCAGAAAGAATACACAGCTCTACATGAAGCAGTACGGAATGGCCACATAGGTTTATCTAAGTATTTGATTCATGAAGGAGCTGATGTTAACTTGAAAGCAAAGGTAAAGTTGATAAAGTCCAATGGACTTCCACTGATATTGAAGTGTTTAGCAGTTTTTTTCCCTCAGATCTTTATGTACATATGTACTAACTTTATTGCATATCAGTAATTCTTATATATCTTCAGTGCTTTACATGTCATCGCATTTGAATTGTCTCCTATTTTACACAGTCATAAGTATAGGTATCTGCTCCGAAGGAGAGGGGGGTATACTGTTTTACCCTTGTGTGTCTGTCTGTCTGTCCATCTGTCTAGCTGTCCTTAACAAATTTTGGTTGCAGTTTTCTCAGCAATGACTCATCGCAGATGCTTGAAATTTTAACACACTCTTTGTTTAGGCATGTCATATTGGGATTAATTTTTGTGAGAATCCAATATCAACTTCCTGTTTATCTGTGCGTCTGTCCATACCATACATAACAAATTTTGGTCACAGTTTTCTCAGCAATGACTCATCGCAGGTGCTTGAAATTTTAACACACTCTTTGTTTAGGCATGCCATATGGTGGGATTAATTTTTGTGAGAATCCGATATCAACTTCCTGTTTATCCGTGCATCTGTCCATACCATGCATAACAAATTTTGGTCACAGTTTTCTCAGTAACTACTCATCGCAGATGCTTGAAATTTTAAAACCCTCTTTGTTTAGGCATGCCATATTGTGGAATCTATTTTTGTGAGAATCTTATGTCAACTTCCTGTTTATCCTTGCGTCTGTCCGTACCATACATAACAAATTTTGGTCACAGTTTTCTCAGCAACTATTCTTCGTAGATGCTTGAAATTTTAACACGCTCTTTGTTTAGGCATGCCATATGATGGGATCTATTTTTGTGAGAATCTTACGTCAACTTACTGTTTATCCTTGCATCTGTCCGTACCATACATAACAAATTTTGGTCACAGTTTACTCAGCAATTACTCATCGCAGATGCTTGAAATTTTATCACCCTCTTTGTTTAGGCATGCCATATGATGGGATCAATTTTTGTGAGAATCTTATGTCAACTTACTGTTTATCCGTGCGTCTGTCCGTACCATACATAACAAATTTTGGTCACAGTTTACTCAGCAATTACTCATCGCAGATGCTTGAAATTTTATCACCCTCTTTGTTTAGGCATGCCATATGGTGGGATTAATTTTTGTACGAATCTTATGTCAACTTCCTGTTTATCCGTGCATCTGTCAGTACCATACATTACAAATTTTGGTTGCAGATTTCTCAGCAACTACTTATTGCAAATGTTTGAAAGTTTAGCAGACTCATTGTTTTAGGCATGTCATATGGTGGGATTCATTTTTGTATGAATCTAATGTCAACTTCTTGTTTATCCCTGTGTCTGTCCAAAAATGAACTTGTGTATTCACATCAGAGCGGGGGTATTATTAGTGAGCATTGGCTCACAGACTTCTTGTTATCTTTAAAATAATCAAAATACACATGTATGTAAATTATTATATTTTTGAGCAGAATCCTGTATTTTTTGTAGCAATGGCAATAGTGGCACTAGATTTATAAATGTAGTCACTATAAATTAAGAATAAAATTAGTACCTCTGAAAATAATCTTTTTGCCATATTCTAAATTCATAATCACAATTAAGCTTATTAATAAAGCATTTTCTTCACAGGATGAAGGGATTTTAGAGTTTCTTCTGAAAACTCAGCATTTTGATCCAAAAGTTTTCACAGATATGATGGATTTCTGTATACTGCATGACTATAAACTGTGCAGAGAGTCTATATCCAAGAAAGTATTGTCTGTGAAATCATTACAGGAGTGTGAAGAAATTCATGACTGGCTGCAGAGGGTAATGCAAACAGTTCCATCTCTGTCAGCCATTTGTAGGAACTTTTTAAGGCAGCAGCTTTCATCTTGTATGAAAACACAGATCCAGAAAAGTATAGAAAAGTTACCTCTTCCCCCTCTGCTCAAAGACTATCTGGCATTCAAAGATGAAGAATGTGAATCGTTATTAAAAATTTCATTTTGAATATTTAGTTGATTTTTTCATTAACAGTTGGATTGTAAATGGATACTTTTAAATCCATCAAAATATAATTTGGCAATGTATCAGTAGGAGGAATATGTAAGTACATAACAGAAGAAGACTCATTAATAATTAATATCAAAAAGGCAAGTTAATTTTCATGGTAAAATCAGTTAAATGATACCTATATAAAACTGTTCATAGTTTTAAAACCACTATTTATATTCTGAGCTTGTGCTGATCAATGTCACAAGTATTAAGTTGGATTTTTTTTATACTCCTTCGGAAGGGGGGGGGGGGGGGTAATACCGTTTTCATTTCTGTACAAATCCGATGTCAACTTCCTGCTTTTGCTTGCATTTGTCCGTTCCAATTTCTCAGCAACTACTCATTGCTGATGCTTGAAATTTTAGCACACTCTTTGTTTAGGTATGCCATATGGTTGAATTTATTTTTAACAAATCCGATGTCAACTTCCTGTTTGTCCATGTGTCTGTCGGTACCAAATTTCCGTCACAGTTTTTTCAGCAACAACTCAAGGCAGATGCTTGAAATTTTAGCACACTCTTTGTTTAGGCATGCCATATGGTGGGATTCATGAGAGTCTATAGTCACATCAGAGCGAGAGTATTACTAGTGAGCATTGGCTCACAGATTTCATGTTATTAATATTTAGGAATCGATAGTGCTATAACGACAATATTTTTTAATACATCCCATTGGTGGATTTAAAAAGGGGGTTGATCCGGCGAGCCCCCTATAATGTTCAATCATAGTTCATTTGATCTTTAAACAGAAATGATTTATTGCATAATATGACTGTTTAATTTACAAGTCTTATTGCATATACATGTACATATTTTATTTATATGTACTGATGTATTTCTTGGCCTTCTCCTTATTTGATAAATTTAAACAATACAAATTATGAGCAGAGCCAACATGGACCTCTGGAAACAAGATGTGGGATCAGGTGCCTTGGAGGAGTAAGCATCTCCATGCCATGATTGGGTAAACAGAAAAATCAGTAGACAATTCAGTATGGAAATAATGACTTAATTATTCATATGAAAGTTAATGTTAAAGTTAATGTTCGACTAGACAGATTGTATTTGCAAACAATGTCATTGTATCGACCATAAAATTTGTGAAATGTTGCCTATAAAAGAGATTGTTGATGTCTTTGTATATCAACTTCTTTGTCAATAGCCTACCTCGTTTTAGAAATTGTTTGTACGTAGAACATACTCTTGCACATCGAATGAACTGGGAGACATAAACGTCATATGCAAGTGATAGTGGTATATTATTACATATTTAAGGAAAGTTGATGATTGATAAGTTGAAATCAAGTTTATTATCATTTGTCATCAATGTCTATAGCAAAACATTCAAATATCAATCAGACTCTGTGGTGTCTTTTATTTCGAGTTCAACGTAATATATCTTATCAACGTAAGAATGAAACTGAATATTGATAAAATGTTCATATATCTAAATGTCGATTTGAAGGCCAGAGCAAGAGACTTCTTCTTTTCTTTTGGAAGTTTTTGAAAAAATTCTGCTTTATATGAATAGAAAAACAGGTCTGCCAATAACGTAGCACAATAAGTCCCATGGAAATTCCAACGGATTGTTGGAAGATATTTCCAACAGATTGTCAGAAGACCTGGTCTCCGAAAACTACATAGATACATATTGTCATGCAGTGAGAAACTCAAGCATATGTTTAATATAAACCTGGGAGTACCTGTGTGTAGAATCCGAATGTTCATTAGGGATGACGTATACTCAGGGTTTTAGCTATAAAGTGTAAGTGCTATAAAGTACAATATGTTAAATCAAAAATTCTTCTAAATAAACAAAATAACCATGTTATAACTCAATAACATTTGAAAAATTCAATATTTTTCATTTTTGTTACAATTTTTTCTCGCAATATCGTTCATGATATTAAGATTCTATGTGTTTTCAAACATCATTTTGCAAATTTCAAAATATGGAAAAAAATCATTCCAGACAACACATCTCAAAAATCTGAACATTGACCTCGTATAATTTTAATACCAGCAGAATAAGGGCAACAAAAGTAAACTGAGGTTATACAGTGTATATAATTTAGAGTCCTTATCATTAAGATTTTTGTAATATTAAATTAAAAATGGGTTTTTAAAATTTTTTTAGAAAATTGACAGAGGAAATTCGGACTGGAATAATTAACAAGTTTATGGTTCAAACTCTAATAATTATTCCATTCCTGTTATATTTTATTATCTTAAGTGTTTTGTTACTTGTAGGATTTTGTTAATAAAGAAAATATTGGTCAGTGTGAAAAATTTAGGCATTTTCCGAGAAATACTCAGGGGCCACTAGCTTGAAAAGTAGGTCATTGACTTAGTTATTTGAAAGTGAATAATAACACTCAATCATAGATGTTCAATATATACTATAGGGGTGTATTAAAAAAAATTACCAAACGCATATTTATCAACCCACACTAAAAATACAGACAATGAAAATTAATTTCTCTGTCTCAGCATATGTCTAGACTGGCTTGCCTGTCTGATATGCGCGATATATTTCGTACGATAGAGACAGGCAGTACCAGTCTAAGCCTATGTCATTAGATAGTGTCTAAATACCTACCAAATATCTCATTGATATCTCAATTAACAAAAAATTAAGTTATGCCCAAAAAATGATGCTAAAATTGTCAGGAGTGCAACACCTTTTTGTGACGTACATTTTGAAATTTCAACATTTTTTGGAGATCTGTGAAATAAATAATAATGGTTTATGTTGAAAATAAAGACTTTCCTGATAATGTTCAAAGTATTGGGCTTTAAATGTGGACTGTAGTAACTTTTGTTTAATCAAGTTGTGGTCATGGCTGATATTTAAAAAAATGTTATACCATGACATGTCAGGAGTGCAACAGAAAAAAATGTAGTGTTGCCAAAAAAAAACATCAATTGTAAAATTCTGAAAGAAAATTAAGACAAAAAAGAATTTTCTAAGTGTAAAACAATAAGTGATATATACATTTTAAAACTTAAAAATGTTATATAAAGCACAAGCAGCATTAATGAGAGTTAAGTATATGTGCATACCCAATAATGTCAGGAGTGCAACATTTGATGTTTTGCTCCCAAGCATGAAAAAACCATTATCATTATATGATTTTCTGATTTTAATTTTGGAAATTAAAGACACAAAGAACATTTTTACCAAATAGATTTATCAATTACAGGGTCTGTCTGTGCTTCAGATCTAAATTTCTATGGTCAGGAGTGCAGCACATTTTTTTTTAAAGATTCAAGTTGTGTGACGAAAACACTTCTATTCATGCTTAGAAGTATTCATTAATTACTAATGATCTTTTTGTATGATTTGATACTAAATTATTGACAGTTTTATGATAAAAATACCTTCCTTTTTCAATTTTATCAATTCAGATTTGTTTTTATCTTTTTGTGCTTTTTTTAAGGAACGTTAAAAATAAACACACTAAAATTGTCATAAAATTCCTCCTCAACTTCACTGAAACAACAGAACACGTTCTTATGTAATTTTCACTTCACAGTTCTACTTTAAAGACCACAATGCTTTTGGTCAGGAGTGCAACAAATATGTTAGAATTATAAATCATCCAATAAGAAAAAAATAAAGAAAAAATGATGAGTAGAATTTTTTTCTGGTGGGTCTCTGTTTTTTTTTCCTCTGAAGGAAAATATGCTATAAAATATATTTTATCTTCTACATATACATTTAAGCTAGTTATTTTTAGCATAAATAGGGAATAATTCCAGATAAAATGCGAATTTTAAATACTTTCATCTGTTTTAATTATGAAGTATTGGACTATAAATATTGGACAATTTCATTACCACTTGATGTTGCCAACACTTCATGAATTTTTGTGTTCTATGGTTTTAATTTTAAATTTTACTGCATTCAAGAGTGCAACAAAACTGCTTTATAATTACTTATGCTTTTTAACTATCTTTACTAAAAATGAATTTAAAAAAATGTTTGATACTATTTGATGTTCAAAACACTATGTCTATCAAAAAATTACAGAACTTTTACAGTCAATTCAGGGAATAGTTTTCATCATTTCACATAAATTTTCAATACAATTTATATATTCCACTTTGCAAATAATCATGTTTTAAGGTCTTCAAAATATGAAAAACCTGCCGTAAATGATGAAAAATATCAAAACGACAAATTGATTTACAAAGTAAGAATGGGTTATTGTGTGTTATAATTTCTAAAACAATGTTAAATAAAATACATATCAGATGTCAGGAGTGCAACACAATAATAAAACATAGGGTCACTTCAAAATCTAGAATTTTTTGTAAGAGAACTCGAATATAAAAATTCTTTTTTGGCTTCGATTTAAAGAATTGACTTGAACGGACAAAAAAGTGAATTTTGGGGAATTTTATTGCTTCATATTTTTTACATATTAAAACTTTTCAAACCAGAATTGAAAAAATAATGTAAAATAACAAACAAAAAGCCAATTTTTTGTCACATATTAGATTTAATCCTTTGTACCCCTTTTACCATTTTGAAGCATAAAAAACTATAATTTCTTGTGATTATGTATTTTAGAAAGTCTTTTAAGGTGTAATGATATTTTCTTTTTTCAAAAGAAATTTTACTAATAAAAATTCTGAAACTTTTTAATCCAGTTGTCTATTCTATTGCCACTTCAGAATTTTAAACTAGAATGCATATGCAATATGATGATAAAAGTGAAAAATATGTTATCAGTAGTTGAATTTTTCCAAAAAAAAATTTAGTTTGGTGGTCATTTTTTTATAGGTTTTTTATAGGTGGTTTTTCATTCTTTTGTCACCAGAGTAAACGTCATCCTTAACAAAATAAGTTTACAGGTGATCATGCAAAGAGAAAAGGTGCAAATTTACGAGTTCCAAATTTTTTTTTATTTTTGGAAGATACCATTTAATTTATCATGGGGAATGGTTGTAT